ATGGAACCTGTGGGGATGGCAGACTGCCTAGAATCATAGGGGTTTCTGTTTTAAATTCATATTCTGTTGGGGGGGGAAATTGTAATGAGCAGTGTAGACAACACCGCCACCAATAGATGCTGCTGTATCTTTATGGTGGTATTAAGTTGTTGTCTTGCATGTTATTATGTTCTTGCATGTGTTCTGGGGGGTTTAGCAGGAAATTCAGCCCTACTTGTGCATGCAGGAGTTGGTACTTGCAGTGTGTCGATAAATCCCTGTGATTCTATAAGTGAGTATTATAGAATGTAGACATTTTTTACCACAGTTATGCAATAATTCAAAAAGAATAATAGACTGTGACTTTGTCTTCTCCATTTGACTTACAAAAAATCAGTATTTTTCTTAAATAAAGTTGCTTTTATGCTATTTCATACCAACTTCATATGTGGTATGGTGTGGAAGGTGGAGAGGACTATAAGGGATTGGAGAGCTTGGAGAAAGGAGAGAGTGAACATAACCAGAATGAACACACTATATTTGTTCTCACAGGCAAAACACATAACCAGCTTCAAATGAAATTGGATTTTTACAGGGAGATTTTTAAAAGACACAGATGGCAGCTAGGTGCCCAGCTCCCACTTTAAAGTCAAAGTTTAGTTAAAAACTATACTGAGATCATTTAAATAAAAAGTAATAAGGCCTGTAGTGGTGTGTAATTTAGACCCAGGCTTAGATGGGTTTAAATTATATTAATGTGACTATTCTGAAAGAAGTAATGAATTAGATGAACTACTGACAAAAATATGTTGTTTACTCCATTTTACATGCATTTGGGGTAAAGGTGGATTGATGGTCTAGTGGGGTCTAAGTGTGCATTTCTGGTTTGGGTGTTGGGTTGTTGGGATATGGATGGCCAGTTGATGCTGTTACCTTGGGATAATCCATTAATTAAGCAAAGTATATGATATTTTTTAAATTTTATATTGAACTTTGTATTTTTAATAACGTGAAGTGCCTAGAGTCTAAAATAGGTGATGGAAAAACCTAAATAAATGCTGTACTAGAGGACTGGAAGATAGATAGTCAGTTGTACACCCAGCATTTAAAAAATGAAATATAATATTATTCTGGGAATTATAAACCGGGATGACCCATTCCTCGGTACTGGGAAAAATAGTGGCGAAAATAATTAAAATTTAGGATCTCCTTCACTAAATGAGTATTATGTGATATTGGTGAACTAGCATGGTTTCTGTAGGAATAAATTATCTAACCAGATAGAATTATTTGAAAAAGTTATCCAAATGATGTGATGATTGATTAATTTATTTTAGACTTTCAAAAGGCTTTTGAAAATCTTCCTTCATGCAAGGAAAAGAAACAGGGTAAAGTCCTGTGCTTAATCTGTGCCAGGGCTGAGCCCCGGCACCTCTAGGCTTGGGAGTTCATAACCCTGGCACCCTCTGGGCTTGCTGCATCAGTTATGAATGTAAAAAAATTACTTGTGCCTCGGCAACTGTTTCATTACAAATTAAGCAGGTAAAGTCCTATAATCAATTAAGAAGTAGTGTGGTTCAACATTGGAAAATGGGGTGGGGGAGGAAGAATCTCTTCATCACTTGTATATTGTGGAATTATGGTGCATGAGGGAAAGTCAGGAGGTTGTAAGATATTCAATGAGAGCCTCTAATAATATGTTGAACTCAGTGATTAGTTCCTTAGACATTGTAATTCACAGGCCTTATAAGTTTTGAAATTCTGTAACCAGATTAACAGCGAGAATACTGAGGTCGGGTCAGTCATTCTGTAAAAAGCAGCAGTCCTGTTTTTAATAGGACACAAAAGACTAATCTTTTTACTCTCCTTCTTCAAGGGGTTTCCAAATCCATCATGGTTTTCAGTTGAAAATGTTGAGGTCATACCAACCCCACCTTCCCCCTTAGAAATCCTTCTCACAATAGATTGCTCCAGGATGAGATCCAATTTCCTTTGGGAATGAAGGCTATAGAATTGGTGCGAGTGCTGGGGCCAGAAACTAACTTCATCTTGGGAGAAGTATAATCCATGCTTTAAAGTCTCAAGACTGGTCAGGGCCTTCAAAATACAGGAAGTGTCTCAGGTTCAATGGGTGAGACCATCTCGGTTAGTACAGAGTAATACCCTTAGCCCAACAGCACCCGCAAGAGTGTTCTGGATGGCTGTCAATGTTCATCCTCACAACCTGCTGGTGTATACATATTTAGACATATAAGGCTCAGTACTCCACTGTATGCATACATATCTTAAGGGCAGTGGAGAAGAGGAGCTGACATGAAGCTGATTGCAGCTCCCTAATTTTCAGCCACCCAGTCCTACTGTAAATTAAAGATGCTGCTGTCAGAAGACTTTCTACCAAAAGAGAATCAGGTGTAGAAAAGCCTCACTCTGCCATACCCTTTCTTCTCCTTCCTGCACATAACTTCTCCTCCCCGGACTATCTTTCTTCCATCCCTTCCCCAAGAAACACACCCTCCCCACGATATGTCCTTCCAGGGGATGTATAAGCAGGGGAATATCAAGCAAGCATAGGGAGGTGGTATTAACTCTATATACAGCAGTAGTGAGGCTATCACTAGAATACTGTCCCATTTTGGTGCTCACATTTGCAAAAAGATGTTGAAAAATTGGGAAGGGTTAGAAAAAAGCTACAAAAATTATTTGAGGTCTGGAAAACTTTGGTGAACAACTATGGAATCTCAATTTATTTCATTTAGGTTAAGAGGTATCTACAAATGCCTGCATGGAAAAGAGATTTCTGATAGCAGGCAGCTATTTAATCGAACAGAAAAAAGCATAATGAGATCTAGTAGTTGGAAATTGAAGCAAGGCCAATCCAAACTAGAAATAAGAAGCAAATTTTTAACAGTGAGGATAATTAACCCTGGGAACCAACTTACCTAGGGACATGGTGGATTCTCCATCAATTGCAGTCTTTAAGTCGAGACTGGATATCTTTCTAAAATATATGCTATATTCAAACAGAAATGTGATGCAGAAATTACTGGGCTTGATGCAGAAATTACTGGGTGAGGTTCTTTGGCCTGTGTTTTGCTGGAGCTCAGACTAGATCAGGGGTTCCCAAACTTGGTTCACGGCATGTTCAGGGTAAGCCCCTGGCGGGCCTGGCGACACTTTGTTTGTCTGAGCGTTCGCAGGTACAGCCGGCCGCTTCCTGCAGCTCCCATTGTCCGGGAACGGCGAACTGCGGCCACCTGCGGACGCTCAGGTAAACAAAGCGTCTCCCGGCCCGCCAGGGAACCCCTGGACTAGATGATCATAATGATCGTTTCCGGCCTTAAAATCTATGATAATTATTAGAAAACTAGGAAATTCAGGATCATGTTTACAAGTAACTTAAAAGAATATAATCTTGTAAAACATAAATAAATAAACATTAAAAAAGACAAATGATAACATTCCAAACATTCCATTTCAAAGTATGGAAGTTCACAGAGTACCCGAAGTACTATAACTCTGCCGTATAAAGATGCCAGCCTCTCCCACCGTCTCTTCTTTATGGATGAAGTGCATCACAGAACATTGGTTTTAAAATTGCGTTCATACATATGCCATCAAACTAACCTTTTTCTCTTTTCTTGTTATTGCTATAATTTCTTGAACTGGACACAGGAGGATTTCTATGTAGACATGCTCCCATCTTACATAGTGACCTTAGATTATTGGCTGCCACATGGAATAACAGAGTGAATTATATGTGGCGCAGAGGTACCCTCATCACTTTATAGGTTATGTCCTAAGTAGGACTGTCAAGTGATTAAAAAATTAATCGTGATTAATTGCACTGTTAAACAATAAAAGAACACCATTTATTTAAATACTTGTGGACGTTTGTACATTTTCAAATATATTGATTTCAATATATTTACAACAGAGAATACAAAGTGTACAGTGCTCACTTTATATTTATTTTTATATCAAATATTTGCACTGTAAAAAACAAAAGAAATAGTATTTTTCAATTCACCTAATACAAGTACTGTAGTGCAATCTCTTTATCATGAAAGTTGAGCTTACAAATGTAGAATTATGTACAAAAAAAACTATTCAAAAATAAAACAGTGTAAAACTTTAGAGCCTACAAGTCCATTCAGTCCTACTTCTTGTTCAGACAATTGCTCAGACAAACAAGTTCGTTTACATTTGCAGGAGATAATGCTGCCCGCGTCTTGTTTACAATGTCACCTGAAAATGAGAACAGGCGTTCTCATGGCACCGTTGTAGCCGGCATTGCAAGATATTTACATACCAGATGCGCTAAAGATTCATATGTCTCTTGACGTATGTCCAGAGATGCATGTCCTCTGGAATGGTGGATGAAGCATGAAGGGGCATATGAACGTTTAGCACCTAAATACCTTGCAATCTGTCTACAAAAGTGCCATGCGAATGCCTGTTCTCACTTTCTGGTAACATTGTAAATAAGAAGCGGGAAGCATTATCTCCTGTAAATGTAAACAAACTTGTTTGTCTGAGCAATTGGCTGAACAAAAAGTAGGACTGAATGTACCTGAACCAGTGGCCAGGCAAGCTTTGTCAAGCTCATCAACATCCAGGTGAACTTCCCAAGGATGATCAGAGTCCTCAGAGAACCTCTCAAAGGTCATCACAAACCAACATGCCACTCTGATTTTCCTACTGTGGTGTGTATTGACCATTAAAATGTGACCATCATGTTCAGAAATGTGGCTTTGTGCACCACATCTCTGCCAAATTATTCTAATAAACATAATTTTAACTGTTTCTTACCATCCATGCTCAAGTTTGTTCTCTCACTAAAAGAATTTTCTGTCTGGGGAATAATTGTTTCCACCAAAACTGAAATTATTCTCTATCTGTAGGTGAAAGAGGGCTAGAAACTTAATTTTAGAAAAAAAAAATAACAAAACCATAGAGTGCTTAAATATTTTTTAAATGTATTTTAGAGTTGAGAAGATAATCGTGTTTCTTTTTCTCCCTAGCTATTAATAGGCTATGAAAATGGGACGGTAGTACTCTGGGACTTGCGATCAAAAAGAGCAGATTTAAGAGTTTACTATGATGAGGTAAGTATTTCCCACTCATTCAGAGTAAAGGACAATTTGGTAGTATTTTAAGAAGCAGAAGATATATCTGAAAGGCCAGGTTAGTTTTGGAAATGCAATATACCATAGTACTCCTTAAAGCCATGTCCCATTGGCAGCAGCTATCAAAACCTGGGAACTCCGAGTCTGAATGCATGTGCTGTTACTGCTTGAGCTAAAAGACCCCGCTCTCCTAGCCAATGCTGGAGCAGACTCATCAACCTCTGTGTGGCCTACCTTCTACTAGAGAGGAACAGAACACCACACCAAGCATGCATGTGTTACAACAAGAACTGTGTGAATGACTGATTTGTTGGGTTCACTGGAAAATCCGGAAAAAAAAAAAAAGTTTTGGATCAAAAAATTTAAAAAATACAATGGAAGGAAATTTCTAAACAAAAGAATCTCAAACTGAAAAATTGAAACATTTCATTTTGACTTTTTTGGAATTTCTTTTGCTTTTTTTAAAAACATGAACAATTTAGTGTAACTGATGAGAATTTTTTGGTTTTGTCACATCTACATTTTTGCCTAAGAAAAGTTTCAGCTCTAGTTATAACTGTATTTAGGAATTACACTTTATTGTTATCATTACTGGATATTTCTACTTCATTAGTTAATATCAAAGGCAATTTATTACATAGGTTTTATATATTACACAAAGACCCAGAGGCTGAGTAGCAGTTGGTTTCAGTATGATATATTCTTACATATCTACTAGACCACTATTTCTTGCAATTTGTAACTAAGTTGGAAAATCAGATGAAGATTCAGTTCTCGTGTTCCACAGAATTCTTTTTAAAGTTACGAATGATTATTTATAGAATGTTTCATATATACATGGCATTCAGCAAAACACAGCCCTCATCTTAACAAACTGACTGGGTAACCCAATTCAGAGAAATACAAATACAGCTCATGGGTAACAGAAAGAGATAAAAGGAGATTTCTGGGAGAAGATCCATGCAGGAACTGTTTTTTCACCCCCCTCCTTTTTTTTTTTTTAATGTATGAAGAATACCTAAATAGTTGGGGGGGTGGTTCTCAACTCTAAAAATTGTCTGGGCAGGATTCTCATCCCTGGGTCTTGTATTCCTTAGTGTGAGATGGACAGAAATCCCACGAGATCTAAGATTCTTGTTCCCTGAAGGCAGTGGTATTGGATCAGCTTGTGAGCCATCTCCCTGTTGGCACATAGGTAATAGTTCAGTGTCTTCTGGGTCATTAGGCAGAGATGGGCGAGGAAATAGTACTCCCTTCTGATGAGCAGAAGAATTGAGTGCAAATCGACATTTCCATTTGTAGATGAGTACTCTGTATCAATTCAGCTAAATTCGGTGAGACTTTATTGGCATGACAAGCCATCCAGGTGTTGCCAAACTGTCAGAAAAAGAACAGGCCCTTCTGGTATGAGGTATGTTAGAAAACCAGACTCCTATTGGTGAAAATAGCTGGATCATTTTACTGTCAAGGCTTTCATAGTTTAGCTCCACAAAGCCAAGCTTAGGAACATAGGAATTGTGTCATCAAATTGACGTGTGGTCCATCTAGTCCGGTTTCTGGCAGTGACCCGTACGAGATGCTTGAGAAGAGAATGTCATCTCTACAGGTTCCTCCTTTCATGGACATCACTTGCTCCTTTTGGATTTTCCACGTTTCTGCTTCTGGGCTTCTTTAGCTTTTAACTATTTTCTAAGCCAAAATTCTATGCCATAATTCTTTTCAGTCCATATTTGGATTGATATGGCATATTCTCACATTATCATATTCAGTTGTATGGTGGTTCTGATTCTTATTTTTCTTCCTTATTCTTTTTTTTTAATGTTCACACATTAACTTTCATCTTTTCTTTACTTCCTTCCAAACTGCATCCTTTTGTTGTCATTTCATTTTCACACCCTTGCCTCATGCAGTCATCATCTCATTATTCAAGCAACATACTTGGCTTCTTACTTTCTGTGCACTCATTTTCTCTTTCTATTGTCTACCTATTTAATCTTTCCAATACACATTTGGCTTTCCCTTATCGCGTCTTTACCGTATGTTTTCAACTTGTATGAAGTGCCACAGCTGAAAATGTCATCCTGTTCTATTGAATTAGTCATCCATCAGTTATTAGATATTTAAACTTGTTTTTTTAATTATGAAGCCAACGCATTGAGACAAAATGAATTTTACTTAATTTTAAGAATTAAGTTTGACAAAATAAGAAGTTAAATTTTACATATCACTAAATTGTTGAACATAGAGCATAATGATAAATATGTGAATGGGGTGCAAATGTACTTATTACAAATAACAGTTTCTTTACTCAGATTGGTGAAGTACACCCCAAGACTTTGAGATTCAGTTAGAACAACAAATATAACTGAAATAACAGGAAAATAAGAGAGTAAGAAAAGTATAGCAAAATAATCCCCTGTATCGTGCATAGTTAAAGCAATCCCACAGTGTTGACATACTTAGGATATGTCTACACTACGAAATTAGGTCGATTTAATAGAAGTCGATTTTTTAGAAATCGATTTGATACAGACGATTGTGTGTGTCCCCACTAAGCACATTAAGTCGGCGGTGTGCATCCACTGTACCGATGCTAGCGTCGACTTTCGGAGCGTTGCGCTGTGGGTAGCTATCCCACAGTTCCCGCAGTCTCCGCTGCCCATTGGAATTCTGGGTTGAGCTCCCAATGCCTGATGGGGCAAAAACATTGTCGCGGGTGGTTCTGGGTACATGTCGTCAGGCCCCCCCTCCCTCCGTGAAAGCAACGGCAAAAAATTGTTTCTTGCCTTTTTTCCTGGGTTATCTGTGCAGACGACATACCACGGCAAGCATGGAGCCAGCTCAGCTCACTGTCACCGTATGTCTCCTGGGTGCTGCTGGCAGTCACGGTACTGCAGTGCTACACAGCAGCATCCCCTTGCCTTGCCTTGCAGACGGCAGACGGTGCAATACGACTACTAACCTTTGTCGTCATCCCGTGGGTGCTCCTGGCCAACCTTGGTTAGGTTGGTCTGGGGCGCCTGGTCAGACATAGGTGCTCCTGGCCGATGAGGTAGGTCGGGGGCGCCTGGACAAAAATGGGAATGACTCGAGGTCATTCTCTTCTTTACGTTTCGTCTAATGGAGCTTCAGTCTTGCCTGGAATATCATGCCAGCTGGAGGCTTCTGCCTCAGGCTGCTCTCCCAGTCGGCAGCACTGCGCGGTCGCACCTACCCCAGCCTACCCCTTGCTCCCATGGCTCATGAAGCCTGGACAGTAGTAAGAAGCAGTTCAACTATAGGCTGAGCAAGTGCATAATGGTGGTAGAATGTGCCTTTGGACGTTTAAAAGCTCGCTGGTGCAGTTTACTTACTTGGTTAGACCTCAGCAAAACCAATATTCCCATCGTTATTACTGCTTGCTGTGTGCTCCACAATATCTGTGAGAGTAAGGGGGAGACGTTTATGGCGGGGTGGGAGGTTGAGGCAAATCACCTGGCTGCTGATTATGCGCAGCCAGCAGTGGCATAGCCAGGGTTGCAGCCGAGGAGGAGCAGCGGCGAAAAAAGGCGCCGGTCCTTCGGTGGCATTTCGGCGGCTCTGCGCCTGCGCCAAAATGCCGCCGAAAGATCCAGAGCGCTGTCCGGGGCACCGAGACCCCCCGGCAATGCTCTCAGGGCCGGAGTCCCGGCGGGAGCCGGCCACCCCACGGCACTGTTCTGCCAGCTGGCCGGAGCACCAGGAGCCGGCCACCCCGCGGCCCCGTTTCGCCGGCCGGAGCGCCGGGAGCCGGCCAGCCCGCGGCCCCGTTCCGCCGGCCAGCCAGAGCGCCGGGAGCCGGCCAGCCCACGGCCCCGTTCCGCCGGCCGGCCGGAGCGCCATTTTTGGGGAATGTGGGCTCAGGGGAAGCGGCCACTTCCCCTGAACCCCGCTAGCTACGCTACTGGCAGCCAGACACCAGGGCGGTTAGAAGAGCACAGCAGGGCATGCTGTGCATCTGAGAAGCTTTGAAAACCAGCTTCATGACTGGCCAGGCTACGGAGTGAAAGTTCTTTTTGTTTCTCCTTGATGAAAACCTGCCCCCTTGGTTCACTCTACTTCCCTGTAAGCCAACCGCCCTCCGCTCCCCCCTTTGATCTCCGCTTGCAGAGGCAATAAAGTCATTGTTGTTTCAAATTCATGCATTCTTTATTAATTCGTCACACAAATGGGGGGATAACTGCCAAGGTAGCCCAGGAGGGGTGGGGGAGGAGGGAAGCACGGAGTGAGGTAGTTGTAGGGGCACCCCCTAGAATGGCATGCAGCTCATCATAGAAGAGGCATGTCTGGGGCTCTGACCTGGAGCAGCCGTTTGCCTCTCTGGTTCTTTGGTAGGCTTGCCTGAGCTCCTTAAGTTTCATGCGGCACTGCTGTGGTCCCTGTTATAAACTCTGTCCTTCATGCTCTTGGAGATTTTTTCAAATATTCTGGCATTTCGTCTTTTGGAATGGAGTTTGGATAGCACGGATTCGTCTTCCCATACAGCGATCAGATGCAGTACCTCCTGTTCGGTCCATGCTGGAGCTCTTTTGCGATTCTGGGACTCCATGGTCCCCTGTGCTGATGAGCTCTGCATGGTCACCTGTGCTGATCAGCTCGCCACGCTGGCCAAACAGGAAATGAAATTGAAAAGTTCACGAGGCTTTTCCTGTCTACCTGGCCAGTGCATCTGAGTTGAGTGTGCTGTCCAGAGCGGTCACAATGGAGCACTGTGGGATAGCTCCCGAACGCCAATACTGTCGAATTGCGTTCACACTACCCCAAATTCGACCCAGGAGAGTTGATTTCAGCGCTAATCCCCTCATCGGGGAGGAGTACAGAAATCGATTTTAAGAGCCCTTTAAGTCGACAAAAATGGCTTCGTCGTGTGGACGGGTGCAGGGTTAAATCGATCTAATGCTGCTAAATTCGACCTAAACTCGTAGTGTAGACCAGGGCTTAGAACTTAATGCAGGCCATTAGAAACAAAGGTGGAAGAAACAGTCAGTGAAGCACACTGCAAGAGGAACTGACGTTTCGGTCTGCTGCCTACTCAGTCACTCTTGGTGTCCGACATGAACATTCATGAATCAGTTTTTATACCCTGTTTTTCATAAATATACATTCTGAGACCAAATTTACTTAGGTCTTGGTCCCTTTTCCATATGTGGTGTTCTGGGAACATATAATTGGGGTTCTGATTGCTGTCATAAGCTATTTGTGTCAGTACCACATTAATACATTTCCCAATGTTTTCGATATGTTAATGCAGTTAGCCTCATGGTTACACATACTAAAACATCCTCCCAAAATACATTATTTTATGCTTCTGTGGTGAACTTATTTATTACAAACTACATATTACAAAACATTGCTAATTGGTATAAACCTTAGGTTAAGCAGTCATGCTAACTCCTTCGCTACTTAAGCTAACGATCAAAATTACTAACAGGCTCACTAGGCCTCAGCTTATTGCCAAGCCTGCCTTAGTTTTTATACAGACTCTGTACTTGCATGACATCTCTAATAGCTTCTATTTTAATATATTGAGATTGTAATATGCCATAGCACATGATACAAAATTTAATCTTGCACTTCTCAAACTTTAGCAACCCGAGGACTCTCATTTTGATTTACAATTTTTTGCGGATCCCCAAGCCCCGCCCCCCCACTCATGCCCTGCCCCCATTCCTCCCCTTTTCCCAAAGCCCCATCCCCACCCCACCTCTTCTCGTCCCCGCTCCACCTTTGCCCCTCCTCTTTCCGCCCCCTCCCCAGAGTGCACCCCGTTCCTACTTCTCCCCCTCCCTCCCAGCTCCTTCTGCACGCTGCGGAACAGCTGTTCCTCGGCGTGCAGGAGGCACTGGGAGGGAGAGGGAGGAGTTGAGGGAGGGAGGGGGAAGAGTTGATCAGTGGGGCCAGTGGACACCCTGGGGTACCCCTGTGGACCCCAGGGGTCCGTAGACTCCAGTTTGAGAAATGTTGGGTTAGGGGGGTTTAGGTCAACAAACTACTTAGTTTCCTTTAGAGCCTCTTATGCAGAACTTTGTCAGAGACTTGTTAAATGTCCAATAAATTAGGTCATCGGGTTTTCCTTTATATGCTATTTTGCCAATGTGCCACCTGAACCCTAATAGATCAGAGCGGTGTGGTGTGATTTCCCTTTACAGAATCCATGTAGGTTTATCTATTTTATGGGAAAGAAAGAGGACAAGGAAAATCTTTATATTATTCCAGTATGTAAACCTTAGAAATGAAAACCAAAATATACAAGCTTAAATGATGACTGCTCTCATGTGAGTGCATTAGGAGTGTGGAGGGAAAAAGGAACAATGAGCCCCTCCCCCTTTCTTAGTATTCTTCCACAGGAAGCAGCCCTAATCTGGCTACTTGTGCTTGGGCAGGAAAGCGTTCTTTCTATCTATCTATCTATTACCTTGACACTAAAAATTCATAGTTTAGTCCAGGGATCGGCAACCTTTCAGAAGTGATGTGCCGAGTCTTCATTTATTCACTCTAATTTAAGGTTTTGCATGCCAGTAATACATTTAAACATTTTTAGAAGGTCTCTTTCTATAAGTCTATAATATCTAACTAAACTATTGTTGTATGTAAAGTAAATAAGGTTTTTAAAATGTTTAAGAAGCTTCATTTAAAATTAAATTAAAATGCAGAGCCCCCCAGACTGGTGGCCAGGTGAGTGCCACTGAAAATCAGCTCACGTGCCGCCTTTGGCACGTGTGCCATAGGTTGCCTATCCCGGTTTAGTCCATAAAGTTCCAAATAATTTTTTACATAAATCATAAATGATTCTCTTGACTTCTAATCTATTTCTTTTTTAAATGTGTACGTAAAGATCATTTTTAAAGTTTTGCATGGGAATGTATTTGTACAAAAAATACAGAAATAATTATTTCCCAATTTTCAGAGGGTTTTGTTTTGTGTTCCAACCGCTAGAATCTCGCATGTCCAAGGGCTTGTCTACACAGGGACACTAAGGATTATGGCTACATTGCAATTAAACAGCCAGGGCTGGCCCAGGCCAGCTGACTCAGGCTCATGGGGCCAAGGCTAAAGGGGTATTTAATTGTAGTGTAGACATTTAGACTCAGGCTGGAGCCTAGGCTATGGAACCCCATGCGAGGGAAGGGTTCCAGAGCTTGGATTCCAGACTGAGCATGAACATCTACACCGTAATTAAACAGCCCCTTAGACTGAACCCCCAAGCATGAATCAGCTGTCACGGACCAGCCACGCGTGTTTAATTGCAGTGCAGATGTACACTGAGGGCTTGTCTATATAAGGATGTACAGGAAAATTACTCCAAATTAATTTAAGATGTGAATTTTGAAGTGGGTTAGTTAAACTGCATTAAATCCCTGTGTAGATGCACTTATTCAGAATTAAAGTGCCCTTAATGCAGTTTAGTTCACTTTGGAAGGTAATTAAGGTAAACCAAATTGAGGACTTTATCCTCACGCACAACTATTTCAAATTTGGTGACAATATATACCTTCAGACCAGTGGCACCGCCATGGGCACCCGCATGGCCCCACAATATGCCAACATTTTTATGGCTGACCTGGAACAACACTTCCTCAGCTCTCGTCCACTCACGCCCCTCCTCTACCTACGCTACACTGACGACATCTTCATCATCTGGACCCATGGGAAGGAGACTCTGGAAGAATTCCACCACGATTTCAACAGCTTCCACCCCACCATCAACCTCAGCCTGGACCAGTCTACACGGAAGGTCCACTTCCTAGACACCACAGTACAAATAAATGATGGCCACGTTAACACCGCCTGTCCTGACCTGAGCCTAAAAGGATGCTCAGAGGACCCAGGGATTGGTTTGTGCTTATCGCTAACATGTACAGAGAGAGCAAGGCCTGCAGAGGCTTGGAGGACCGTGCTTGTGTTGCCAGAGGCTGATGATTTCAGGGAGCTGATCCACAGGCAGTACAAACAAGACTTCCACAGGCTAAGGGCAGGTGGGCGAGGTATCTCTCAACCCTATGTACCCCTGAGAATCTGCCCTTGTAGCAAGTGCCCACTAGCACATTCTCAGCGTGCAGGTGTATCTGGTGTTTTCAGTAAAACTGAACAATTCTGTTCAGAAAAAATTCGCTGTGCATGTGGAGAATGATACACACTAAGAAAAGTTATTACACATTTAAGTTAGCATGTACAGTTGAAGGTGCTTCTTTTGTCTGCTTTGATGAGCACTTTGAGTGAAAGTACTTTAAAGGGGTGCTGATGGTGGTGGATTGCAGACAAATAAGAGGCACCCAATTGCTGCGATGCCATTGGATAAGGATAACCTCAAATCACACATTAAAATGTAGCTGTATTAGTTAATGTGAACTATGTATTCTGTAATGACGTTCCTGTTTGTTCTCACTACCATTTCTTTAGGCTATTCATTCTGTAGACTGGCATCATGAGGGGAAGCAGTTCATGTGCAGTCACTCTGATGGCAGCTTGACTCTGTGGAACTTGAAAAGTCCTAGCAGACCATTTCAGATAACAATCCCACATGGTAAGAAAGATGCTTTAAAAAAAACATATTGCAGGGAAGGAATGAAAGAGATGGTTTTATTTGCAGATATCTATGATTAGTTCGTTTTATCTGGTCCTGTGTCCTACTTCGTAGCCATTTCTTGTATAGGTTCCTATATTCTTTAATCTGCAGAATATTCTCAAAATCAACTAGCAGCTATGTTACTTTTTACATGAGAGGCCTGTCTCAGCACCAAAGTATCTGATTTTTATTTAATACCCTCTGCCTCTGACCATGTTCGATTTGTTTTGCTTGTGGGAAACAACGTTTAAGCTAATATATGTTTAAAACAAAATTTTAAAAGACAATAGGATTTGCTGTGAAGAAAGAAAATATATTGAATAAAAGAGCAAAAGGAATCTAATTATTTCAGACAAATTAATATCCAAACTGCAGTGGAAAATAGGTATTAGTACTCTGCCATCTGCAATGACTTTAAAGTTCAATTATTGTGCTATATATAGAACTATCCAGTGTGGTGGCAATTATAAGTTTTAGTAAGATTTATACCTTCTTTCTTTCCACAGGAAAAATTCAAAGAGATGGGAAAAAACCTGAGTCTTGTAAACCAATTCTTAAAGTAGAGTACAAGACATGTAAAAGCAGGTATGTTTTTGTCCCCTTACGAAACGATTAAGCCAAATCTATGTGCTTGGCTACGTATGTAAAATGGAGCTGCTTATAAATACGTCTATCTACAAGGCACTGTTGGACATGTAGATGAATGATACAGACTGTAATTACATGATCAGATGCTGTTTGTTCTGGATGATGGTCTTATGGTTAGATCACTGGAAAGGACCCAAGAAAACTGGATTGTGTCCAGGCTCCTTACCTTGGCTATAGATTTCCTGCACTGCTGAGGAAGTCTTTTAAACCAAGTTTCCAAAGGTGTCTTCAGAATGATACCGTCTGCTGTTTCTAATTTATGCTGTTTAAAAATTATTAAAATTCTGTATTTATTTTTTAAAATGCAGCTCTTAAATTAAAATAATAAAACAAATGAATCACAGAATACATAGCAAATGAAATGAAATGGGACTGCTCTGCTTTTCTATGCATTTTTAGATCTCTGATACACATTTAATCTTCCAGAGATTGATCCTTCCTACTATATACAGTATTTCAGCTCTTTTAGGAAAATAATATTCATATGTTTCTTTTATTTAGTATACAACAGCAAAAACAAAACATTGACTTGACCTTCACTATATTCCTTTGTCATCTTCCCAATTAATAGTCTATGTGCAAATGTACATTACAATATTAGGCCCTAAATCAGAAAATCACTTAAGCACATGTTTAAACATATACTTAAGTCCCATTGAAATCATTGGGACTCAAGCATATGCTTAAAGTTATCACATGCTTAAATACATTCCTGAATTGGTGTCTGACTTGAGAAGGGGTTTAAAAGGTCTATGTGTCATATTTTCCACTAAATTCCTACATACAGTTTTAAAAAAGGAAATCCCCACGGAGAAAACACTTTAAAAAACCCCACACCTCCAGCATATACAATAACTCCCAACATTCCCTACAATTGCATTATAATGCAGAACTTTAACTCTAACCTTAGACTTACCCATCAGAGAAGAACACAATATTCTGGTATGTGAATGTCTAAAAGACATGTGTTGTTGGAGTTAAGGTTTTGTGTTATAATGTAATCATGGGAATTAGGATATGTGTGATGTGTTACTACACATGATTGAAGTGTAAGGGAGTTGTTTATAGAGGGGAGAAATCTGTCTGTGAAAATGGTGAATATGATGTTTGGTGGGGGTAAGGGGAAAGAAGAATATTATAACTGACATGCATCCGACGAAGTGGGCATTCACCCACGAAAGCTTATGCTCCAATACATCTGTTAGTCTTAAAGGTGCCACAGGACTCTCTGTTGTATTTTAACTGGAGAATTCCTACTTTTCAGGGTTTGTGTGGGTTGGGGGTTGTTCTCCTTAGGCAACTTTAATAGATTTTAAATGTAAGTTTTTGTCTTTGTGAGAATTTATGTAAAGGTCCAAGTTTTTTTCAAATTTTGAAATACACTTGTTAAGTATGTTACCGAAATATTGGGTCTACCTAGCTGAGACCCAATAACAGCCAGACAGGGATAAGGAGGAGTTGCTTTATTTTGCAGAAGAAAATGTAGGACTAGTGGAACATAATAATATAATTATTTGCATTTCTGTAATGCCTCCCAGATTGTGCCTCAAGTTCCATGCACAGATCTCACGTCTTCTGCATGGAATGTGGTGGAGTCAGCCTCATCCACAGCACTGCTGTTGTGATGCACCTCTTACCCCTCTACCCCCACAGAACCACCATGTGGTCTATTCATAGGACTGGAATCTTAAGTGTGGACTGAGCAGGCAATGAGCAGTTCTGCACTGGGTAGAGACAGGAGGACACACCTCTCCACCACAGTATGACAACCAAGCATTTGCTAGATAGGTCAATGATTTTTCTTTTCATGAGTTTCACAGAAAAAAGTTACATTTGGGAATCAGAAAATACATCTTTCTATTGCTTTATAGTACTTTAAGACTGCAGTGTACAAAGAATTATTTTATTTAAATTTATTATATTACAAAGAAGCAGGCAAACATCATCACATCATATGTACATTATTTCAAAATCTTTGGCTTTATTCCTTATATTCTGAATTATTTTAGCAACCCAGCAATACATTTTTCATCTATCAAAATCTTTTTGGAATCCAAAACTAACAGATATAAGATTCCAGTTATATAAGTTAGAGTTTGAGCTGCTTAGCTTATTGTTCTGTTTAATTTGTGTAGAGGCAGAAATGTTATGACAAGTAACATATTACAAAACAGGTACAATATGACATAAAAATATTAGTCGATGCATTGAAAAGATCTTTAAAAGGGTTTTGAACTTTGTAAAGACTATAGTTTAACAGTAGCAATTGCATCTTTTAATATTTTAATTATTCAAAAATTTTGCTGGGAGGTTTTCTAGGTATTTGATATTTAGAGTCTTTTACAACATACAAAGCTGCATTTGTTCTTCTTTATAAGAAATTAGGAATTATCACACCAGGAAAGTCAATTTACTATTTATATGTAGGCCTTTCTCTGGTGCTTATCAAGGCTAGTATGCTTTCTCTCTGTCAGACCTGAACAGACCATTGTTTATTTAGTCCACTGTTCTGTCTCCTTACTATACTGGGACAGACCAGTGGCCCATTTAGTCTGGTATCCTGTCTCCTTAAGGTATCTGTTGTATTACAGAAATGCAATCCTTGGATGGCTAAGCAGGTCAATACCAAGTAGGAGCAGAAAGGTGGTATTTATTCTGTATAAAGTATCTTAGTAATGGGAGACTAAGAACCTGGAATCCTTCAGCATTGCACCTTTCCAGAGTTCAAATTTCTTTCCCTTTCTTTCCATGAGAGCTTTTCAGTTACGTTTGAATTACTTAGATGTTTTAGGTGTGAACAACCCACCACCACCCACAAACGGAACAGACTCACTTTCCCCCAGGTCTATATACAGCTATATGAAATCACATACACTCAAGTTTGGGGAAGAGGGTGCAGGAAGACTGGCACCTGTACTTGGGGGCAGAATTAAGGTTGTGGTATGTTGTCTGAAGTGGTTGTGCTAGTGCTGAGGGGTCTGTCTCTGGATGGGAGGAGTATGGACTGCTGGATGTTTTTAACTTTTTTTGGTTTTGAGATTTTGCATTAGTTATGTCTGTATAGATCAATCTTAACTTACACACACTGTAGTGTTTTTATGTATTAATTCCCCAGTTTATAGATTTAGATAATATCTCTGACACAGCAATGGCTCCTTTCATGAAAAACCTGATCTCTGTCAAAGTGTCCACCTAGATTAGTTTGTTACTTCCACAAAAATCCTTGTGTTATAGAAGCAGGGCAGGCCTTACCATGAGGCGAACTGAGGCGGCTGCCTCAGGTGCCAGACTGGGGCGGGGGGGGGGGGCACCACTAGGACCGAGAGTGTAGAAAATTTTGTCTGCTGCTGGTGCATATGTATTCTCTCTGCTCTAGATGCACAGAGATGCTGGAGTGCTGTGCTGGAGGAAGGAGGGCACAAGAGACATAACAGGCAGGCAGGAGAAAAGGTGAGAGGGAATAACAGAAAGCAGCAGGAGCTGCAGGGAGAGAGAGGAGGAGAAGCCTCTTATGTACCTCTCTAGCACCCCCAGAAGCCTGGACTGATTAACACCAGCTTCTCGGGGAGCTTCCTGTTTCCTGCTGCTTCCCTGAACCCACTTGAGGAGAACAGGCAGTCAACTGAAGTAGTAGGAGCCAGTTAGGCCCTTAAGATGCTGATATCTTCCCTCACTCAGGCCCTGCTACCAGCCTGCTTATTTGTCCCCTTCAATTGAGTGTTGAGAGCCACTATAGCTGGCACAGAACAGCAGTCATGAGTGAAAGAAGCAAACGCCCCTCTGGGGCAGCATTCAGAAAAAGAAAGCAAACAAAGGAAGCTTTTCTATCTAAGCAGGAAGGAGCTCTCCTGAGATACATAGACACAAATGTTCACGGTGAGCTTTCCAGCCCCAGTGAGGATGTGAGTGGTGAGGAGATGCCTGATCTTCCAGTTAGTCAGAGTGCAGGTGACCTGGCAGCAACTGCAGCATCCATATCTCCATCTCAAATGGATGTAACCATGCACATTCCTGAAGAAAAGTGTAGATCAGAGAAGAGTGTGGTGGAGGCGCAAGAAACAGCTGCTGCTGAGTTTAGTTCCTTAAGTCTAGATGATCCAGGACTGTGGACCCACTTGAGCAGTAGCCTGAGGGACTTCATTGTACTGCATGGGCAACAGCAAGTGAAAAACTTCATGTTCCCCAAAGACAATGAAAACAGAAGTTTCCATCCAACACATTACTGGCGTAAAATCCCCAACGGTGACAAAGTGGAGAAGCCATGGCTTATGTACTCAAAAACCCAGAATGCTGCATACTGTTTTTGTTGCAAACTCTTCCAGTCCAATGTTCCAGCCACATTGGGTTCTACAGGAACAAAGGACTGGAAAAATCTGGCTAGAAATCTGGCATGCCATGAGAAGGCAGGAAATCACCAGAGAGCATTCCATAGGTGGAAAGAGCTTGAGATGAGACTAAGGTTAAAGGCCACCATAGATGATCAGCATCAAGAGAAGATTGCATCAGAGTTTCTTTACTGGCAAAATGTTCTGAAAAGGCTCGTTGCCATTGTGAGAATGCTTGCTACCCAAAACCTAGCATTGCGTGGCATTTCAGATCAGCTGTATGTGCCAAACAATGGAAACTTCCTTAAAATTATGGAGCTGATGGCTGAGTTTGATGCTGTACTCAGGAGCATCTAAGAAGAGTCACCACCCAAGAAATGTACACACACCACTACCTTGGAAAAACAATTCAAAATGAGATCATACAGTTACTGGCAACAAAAGTCAAACAGAAGATTGTGGCAGATCTGAAGTCAGCAAGATATTACTCTGTTATTCTGGACTGCACACCTGACATCAGCCATACGGAACAAATGACTTTAATGGTGCGTTTTGTAACAACAACAGAACCTAGTGAAAATGTCCCTGCACTGGTGACTGTCAGAGAGCATTTTCTAGAATGTATTGACATTGATGATACTACAGGAGCTGGTATGACAAATGTGCTTCTTAAAAAGCTGGAAGATACGGGAATTGTGATAGCTGACATGAGAGGTCAGGGCTACGATAATGGTGCTAACATGAGAGGAAAGAACGGAGGAGTGCAGACACGGATCCAAAACTTAAACCCTCGAGCTTTTTTTGTCCCATGCAGTTCTCAGTCACTGAACTTGGTGGTCAGTGATGCAGCATCAGCTTCTAGTAAGCCTGCTGAATTTTTTAATGTAATTCAAAGTATCTATCTATTTTTCTCTGCATCAACTCATCGATGGCAAATTTTGAAGCAACATCTGGGAACATCCTCTCTGACACTGAAACCACTGAGTGCCACATGATAGGAAAGTCGAGTGGAGGCGATAAAGCCTATCAAACACCAAATTGGGAAGACAGATGATGCCATAGTTGCTATTATGGAGGATAATGCTATGACAGGAACTGTTTGTGGGAGAACAGTGGCAGAGGGAAATGGAATCACCAGAAACATACATAACTTCAAATTTCTGTGTGGCTTAGTGTTGTGGCATGACATACTGTTTGAAATAAATGTTGTAAGCAAGAGACTCCAAGGTGTTGACCTTGATATATCTGGAGCAATGGAATAACTGGACTACTGCACTGAGCAGCACAGTATGGGGAGAAGGTGACCAGCCCTCTGTGGAGAAAGAAGTGGTTCGGGACTATTTAGAAAAACTGGACGTGCACAAGTCCATGGGGCCGGATGCGCTGCATCCGAGGGTGCTAAAGGAGTTGGCGGGTGAGATTGCAGAGCCATTAGCCATTATTTTTGAAAACTCATGGCGATCGGGGGAGGTCCCGGATGACTGGAAAAAGGCTAATGTAGTGCCCATCTTTAAAAAAGGGAAGAAGGAGGATCCGGGGAACTACAGGCCAGTCAGCCTCACCTCAGTCCCTGGAAAAATCATGGAGCAGGTCCTCAAGGAATCAATTATGAAACATTTAGAGGAGAGGAAAGTGATCAGGAACAGTCAGCATGGATTCACCAAGGGCAAGTCATGCCTGACTAACCTAATTGCCTTCTATGATAAGATAACTGGCTCTGTGGATGAGGGGAAAGCAGTGGATGTGTTATTCCTAGACTTTAGCAAAGCTTTTGATACGGTCTCCCACAGTATTCTTGCCGCCAAGTTAAAGAAGTATGGGCTGGATGAATGGACTGTAAGGTGGATAGAAAGCTGGCTAGATCGTCGGGCTCAACGGGTAGTGATCAATGGCTCCATGTCTAGTTGGCAGCCGGTTTCAAGCGGAGTGCCCCAAGGGTCGGTCCTGGGGCCGGTTTTGTTTAATATCTTTATTAATGATCTGGAGGATGGTGTGGACTGCACTCTCAGCAAGTTTGCAGATGACACTAAACTGGGAGGCGTGGTAGATACACTAGAGGGTAGGGATCGGATACAGAGGGACCTAGACAAATTAGAGGATTGGGCCAAAAAAAAACCTGATGAGCTTCAACAAGGACAAGTGCAGAGTCCTGCACTTAGGACGGAAGAATCCCATGCACTGCTACAGACTAGGGACCGAATGGCTGGGTAGCAGTTCTGCAGAAAAGGACCTAGGGGTCACAGTGGACGAGAAGCTGGATATGAGTCAACAGTGTGCTCTTGTTGCCAAGAAGGCTAACGGCATTTTGGGCTGTATAAGTAGGGGCATTGCCAGCAGATCGAGGAACGTGATCGTTCCCCTTTATTCGACATTGGTGAGGCCTCATTTGGAGTACTGTGTCCAGTTTTGGGCCCCACACTACAAGAAGGATGTGGAAAAATTGGAAAGAGTCCAGCGGAGGGCAACAAAAATGATTAGGGGGCTGGAGCACATGACTTATGAGGAGAGGCTGAGGGAACTGGGATTGTTTAGTCTCCAGAAGAGAAGAATGAGGGGGGATTTGATAGCTGTTTTCAACTACCTGAGGGGGGGTTCCAAAGAGGATGGAGCTCGGCTGTTCTCAGTGGTGGCAGATGACAGAACAAGGAGCAATGGTCTCAAGTTGCAGTGGGGGAGGTCTAGGTTGGATATTAGGAAAAACTTTTTCACTAGGAGGGTGGTGAAGCACTGGAATGCGTTACCTAGGGAGGTGGTGGAGTCTCCTTCTTTGGAGGTTTTTAAGGCCCGGCTTGACAAAGCCCTGGCTGGGATGATTTAGTTGGGAATTGGTCCTGCTTTGAGCAGGGGGTTGGACTAGATGACCTCCTGAGGTCCCTTCCAACCCTGATATTCTATGATTCTATGATTCTAAAGCAAAGTCATACCTACAGTCTTACCGGTCAGATGAGGGATTTCAAAACATTCTGAAGAGTCCACAGAAGTTGGCAGAGGAACTTCACACTGAAGCTATTTTCCCACCCATTCAAGAATACAAGAGTCATAGACTCATAGACTCATAGACTTTAAGGTCAGAAGGGACCATTATGGTCATCTAGTCTGACCTCCCGCATGATGCAGGCCACAAAAGCTGACCCACCCAATTTCCCTTATCTCAGCTGTTGAAGTCTCCAGATCGTGATTTAAAGACTTCAAGTCGCAGAGAATCCTCCAGCTTGCGACCCCTGCCCTATGCTGCGGAGGAAGGCAAAAAACCTCCAGGGCCTCTGCCAATTTACCTGCCCTATGCTGCGGAGGAAGGCAAAAAACCTCCAGGGCCTCTGCCAATTTACCCTGGAGGAAAATTCCTTCCCGACCCCAAATATGGCGATCAGTAGAACCCCGAGCATACAGGCAAGATTCTCCAGCCGGACCCACATTTTACCAGCGATGGCACGTTATTGCCTAATTGACTAAAATCACGTTATCCCATCAAACCATTCCCTCCATAAACTTAACCGAAGAAGAAGACATTTTGATTACGAGGCACGGGATAATCCCATAAGAGACTCCAAACAACAACTCAAAGTTGAATTCTTTAACCTGGTGCTAGATTGTGCAATACAGTCAGTTGAAGAACGTTTCATGCAGCTCAAGGAACACAGCAGTATATTTGGGATGTTGTATGATATTCCAAAACTCCTCACTATACCTGAAGAAGACCTACACCAGCAATGCAGGGCACTAGAGACAGTGTTGACACATGATGACATGCGCGATATTGATGCGAGTGATTTAGGTGATGAACTGAAAGCCCTTTCAAGATACATTTCAGCAAGATCAACTCCAAAGGCTGTTCTGGAATATATGTGCACAAATAACATGACCACCCTCTTTCCAAATGCTTTTGTTGCTCTGCACATACTTCTAACACTTCCTGTAACAGTTGCCAGTGGAGAACACAGCTTCTCCAAGCTAAAGTTAATAAAAACACATCTATGCTCCACAATGACACAGGAGAGGCTGGTCGGCCTTGCAACCGTCTCAATAGAGCATGAGCTGGCCCAGAATGTGGACCTTCAGGAAGCAGTTCTTTGCAACTAAGAAGGCACGGAAAGCACCAATTTGATTATTCAAACAGATAAAAATGCCAGTGTTTACTATGCAGACAAGAAAAGTTACATTTGCTGTTCAGGCATTTGAAAGTTAAGTGTTACTTAAAATTTTTGAACACGGCATTTTAAAGTTGTTAGTTCTCCTTTAGTGGGGTAGGTAGCAGAGCAGTACCAGGAGAGGAGTAGAACAGGAAGAAGGCAGAATTGAGACCTTTCAAAGTTTTGGCCCAAGTGAGGGGACGTGGGGGTGTCATTTGAGCTCCCCTCCTCAGGTGGCAAAATGTTGTGGGCCAGCCCTGTATAGAAGAGGATGTTCAACAAAGCAATGGCTACTCTGATGAAGGACAGGATCTTCATGAAAGTGTTCAGACAGCTCAAGAGCCCACATAAAGACTTCCAAATGCAGCTTCAAATATGGAAGTAGATGACATATAACAAGCTATCCATTGTTACCCATTGTTCATAAATGTTCAGTTATACTGAAAAATACTGATAAGGTTTTTCTTTTAATTGATAAAATAATTATGTATTTTTACACAGCTAAATCTCATTATGTATAACTTTTTAAAGGGTAGTTTTTAGGGGGACCTGAAAATGATGAGATTCAAAATGTGATATTTTAAGGCCTATTTTTAATTAATGTAAAATATATGTATATGTATAAACCTGCTTTTCTCAGTGCTATGGGTCTCTCAAAATATTTCCACACACAAAAATAAACCCTTCAAAATCTGCATCTGTATTAGTGATACAAATCCACCATCACAATTTCATTTTTTCTCTTTGTAAACACTTCGGGATGAAAGGCATGACACAAATGTGAGATTATATAATCTATTATTGCTTTTTGTTTTTTGACACAGTGAACCATTTATAATCTTTTCTGGTGGACTGTCCTATGACAAAGCTTGTCGAAGACCAAGTCTAACCATCATGCATGGAAAAGCTATTACGGTGCTTGAAATGGATCACCCTATAGTTGACTTTTTAACTCTTTGTGAAACACCATATCCAAATGGTGAGTGTATGAAGCAACAATAGTACAATTTTGTCAAAGAAGAGAAATGTGATTTGTTAGAAAATTATATGAAGTGGTCTTATCACAGAATTTAGTGTCCATACAGCATGATAAGCGAGTTGGGGATCTCAGTTCCCAATGGACAGTTCTCCACGTTACAAAAACCAACACCACAATTGACAGCAACTGGACCCTTTGTTTGCAGTCTCAGCAGAAAGATCAATAATGAATGAGCTACAGAGACTGAATTCCCCTCTTACCATGGTGTGGGAGGTGGGGGTGGGGGGAGGGGAGCTCCAAGTCACAGTTGGAGCACTGATCAGTCAATGTAAGGAAGCTTACGTTGCCACTGCTCAGAAATAAATGGAGAGCTTAAGTCTCATGGCTGTAATTCTGGTGCTTTTCATGAACGTTAAGTCCTTAAATCAGCAAAGTGTTTAAGCTTGTGCTTAAATCCATCCCTTTTGAGCAAAGCACTTAAGCACAAGCTTGATTAAGAATGTGCTGAAGTGTTTTGCTCTGCTGAACAGGGATGGATTGCTAAATTGAGGACTAAATTAACAGAAAAGACTAAGAAGGGTGAGGGGTAGGGAAAGCTAAAAACCTAAAAGAAATTAAGTCTGGTATCTTCAGCATAAAAGAGGGTGAGCAGAAATGTAGAAGAAACACTTAACATGTAAATTAATAAAAAAAACCTGTTGAATAATTTGAATTAGCATAAAGCAAATATTTATTTCCAATGTCTAGTGAATGGAAGCTTCAATAATTGAATTAATGTATCTGGGCTGCCAATTCACTATGTTAAACTTAGTGGTGCTTCCATATTATGGATTCTTTTACTGATTTACACAGTAGTACATTTTTGTTTTATGTTAGCCTGTGTTGTTCATAATCCAGTGTGTCAATATGCTACCACAGAATGTGCATTAATAGTAGACCACAAAGGGAAGAGCATTAGTTGATGCATTCCTCAGGTTCATTCAGCCTTGTGCCTTCAACCATCTGAAGAGTACAACCTTGCACACCATAAAGTGGCTTACTGTTATTTTAATAGGATTCTTAATTTTACAGTTCATTATCTTAAAAACACAGAGAAGGTTTTTGTTCTTTTTTTCTTTGCATAAAGAGCAACCCTATACTCATGCTTTTGATCTAAGTAACTTTTATTTTAGATTAAAGAAAAAACATAAAATAAGAGAGAACAAAAGTATGGTCTCCAAAAGAAAGTTGTGTCTGTGTGTGTGAGAGAGAGAGAGATACTGCACCTGAATTGATCACAAAATAGTAGATGCCTCTAGCAGGCTCACAACTAAATCATAACAATTACCGGTATATCACTACATAAACCAATTTATGCAATGTATGTTTTAATTATGAAAAATACTTCCCAGTATATAAATAATGTCTTATCCTTACTATGTTAACTTTTTTCTTTCTTTCCTACTTTGTGTCCCTTCCCTTGATTATCTGGAACTCATTTCTATTAAAAAACCCTAAATTTGGAACATCATAATTTGGATACCAAGGTGATTGGCAACTTAGATAAAAATTCACTTTTTCAAAAGTAAGTGGTGTAAAAGTGGTTAGAAGACCGCAATCTACACTGCAAATGGCAGCTTGACATTTAGGAGAGGAGGGGGCAATTTAAATCTTGTCTTCTTTTTCAGCCCATTACATGCTATTCCTCCCCAACTCTGTTTGCAGTACAACTGCATCTCTTTCTTCACCTCCAGAGTGTACCTTCGTCATCTTTGTCTCCTCATTAACTCTCCCCAATTCACATTTTAAAATAATGGATCTAGCGAACTTTTTGCATTTGAGGTTACAGCTGAGTTGGTGGACTGTGCATCTCAAGGGGTTGGTGGAATGTAGCTTTGGACAATCACTGCCCACAATAAAACTCTAACACCCGTTAAACCTTTGCAGTCTGTGATCACAAGGTCTATAACAAGAGTACCTCCCTGTGTGTGATAATTAGATTCAGTGATAGAGTAACATACCAGCTGCCTTCAGATGTCAAGGTGGACTCACCTACTCCACTCCTTTACTTTTCATTCAACACCATGTTAGCATGCTATAATTACACAGGGCTATTTTTGCCATATATGTTTATCAACAATTATGTCACCAAAGCTACTTATCATTGTGGCCATCTACATCGCTGTCTGACTCTAATCAAATGCCATGCTTTCTAATTTGCAAATCTGTCCTTAGTTATTATTCAGACTTCTATCTCAAATCATTTATTTAAAATACAATAATTGTTCAGGAGAGGATTATATAATTTGGCTAACTTGGTTAAAAGGCTTAACAGGAAAGCTCTGCATGTTTTTTGTGCTTGATTCCTCACTTTTAGAATTTCAAGAACCCTATGCTGTAGTTGTACTATTGGAAAAAGATCTCATTGTTGTTGACCTAACACAAAGCAAGTAAGTACAAAGTCTATATGAAACTGTTCCTGCTTCATAAATATCTAGCTGATAATGTTGAAAATCTATTCAAACTTTTCTTTTTTATTTTGCTGGTGTAAAAACTTTACATTCATTGGAGGCAATTTTACCCTAGGATAATGTAGGCCAGCAGGTTTTCCCATTTTCTCTAAGATAATATCTTATGTCCACACATGGTAGATGCTCCAAAATTATTAATATCTTCAGCGCAGCACAGCCTGGAATTCTAATAATACTAATTCTTTCTCCTCTTCAGTCAACACTGACAGGCCTGTTCAACAATATTTCACTAGGCACGCATATATTCATTTGTCTGATTTTTCTATGTAAGTCAATTCAGTTACAGCAGTGTAAAACCTGGTGGAAGTGAAATCAGAATCAGGCCTTCTTCTTTGAGTTATTGTCCCTATGGGTGCTCTAGGTGAGGATGTGTGTACACCCATGCACTCTCAATCGAAGATTTTTCTGCTATTAGTGCCTACAGGTTTGCACCTACACCATATGCCTTCATATGCTCCAGTATAAGGGCATACAGGGAGGAGTGGACCCACACCACTCCAGTTCCATCTCAGCCACCTGCAGCTAGCGATGGAGTTTTGAAGCATTTATTCTTCTGCCACATTTTTATTCTTAATTTTCATTTCATATGTAGTTTTAGTTTTGTTGTTGTTAATTTACCTTTCTAGCACCATGGGGTCCCTCCTCACTTCTTCCCCCCTTTTTCTTTGATGCCCCGTTTTTCCTCTCAGGCCTTCTCGGCTGGTGGCTTTTCTTGCAGGATATGCCCAAGACCCCAGGATTCAAGCCCTGCCAGACCAGTCACCAGTCTATTCCCCACTCAGTGATGGGCAATCCAGTTGCCTCCATTGTCTTGGAAAGACTCACGTCCCATCCAAGTGTAAGATCTGCTCTGGTTTAAAGGCTGGCAAAAACTAAGGGAAGAAACTTCTCATTGAGTGCTCCCTTAGACCCAGGGGGTCAGTTCTGCCCTCCATCCTGTACATTGGACTCAGCTGCAGAGACTTCATTAGCTCCAGCTCTGACCTCCAGAAACCAGGGGACAACTTGCAGAAAACAACCAAATGTAAGAGACCCCATTCCTCTCCACTTAGATCTGGGAGTAGGGAGACTTGTGTCCTGCTGCAGATACTGATAAAGCTCCCACCAGGTATAGTACCAATGCACCAGCACTGCTGAAAGAGACTTTTACAAAGCCGGGTGTCGAGAAACTGTACCGAGAAACCCACTGTTGAGCAGTCCCAAGATATGGACCCATCAGAACCAAGATTGGACTCTTACAGACAGAAGGAATCATTGAAGACTAAGGATTCTTCAAAGAAGTAATCTTACCTGGTGCCGTCCACTGGCAGCCAGCCCTCTCCAGAATGACTGGGGTATTCTCTGGTACCACTTCCAATATTGCTAAACTTATTTTTCATTGAGAGGAACACTCCCTGGACTCAATGGTACCTTTAAAGTTCCTCTCTCAAAGGACCTTCACATTATGGAGTACTTGTTTTCTCATCCCACCCCTAACTTTCTTATTGTTGATGCTGCCAATGAAAGAGTAGGAAACATCACTTCATATCAGAACTGTCTGATAACGAGCGTAAGCATCTGGACCTCCTAGGGCTTAAGAGCCACTCATCAGCCTCTCTTCAGTTCCGAGTCACCAACTACCAAGTCCTAATGGCAAAATATGACTTAACCAACTATAGTACATTTTCTCACTGTATTGAGTTTTTGCCTCAGGACAAGAGAGCAGTTTCAAGCTCTTATTACAGAGAGTGAGACAGTAGCCAAAGCCTCCCTGCAGGCCTCCCTTGAAACAGCAGATATGGATTCTCATTCTATGACCACTGCCATAGTCATGCATTGGGCCTCCTGGCTACAGTCCTCCACTTTGTCCAGGAAAGTGCAAAATACTGTTGAGACTTGCCCTTCAAAGGGCCTAAGCTCTTTAGTGACACCTGGATGGTTCTCTTCACTCATTCAAGGACTCCTATCTGGATGACTGGCTCCACAAGGGCCATTCTTTTCTTGAAGTTCACTCTGACACTCAGAAGGCCCTAGCTCTATTCCACTGCCTAGGCCTGCACCTCAACTTAGACAAATCAACCCTGATGCCTGTGCAACTGTATTGGGGCTACCTTAGACTCTGTGGCAGTCAAGGTGTCCCTACTTGCAGACAGATTCACCATGATGTCTGACCTGATCTCCACATTGCAACAGAGCCAACAAACCATGGCGAGGGCTTGTCTTCAGCTTCGGGGACACACAATGGCCTGCACTTTTGTAACCCCCCATGCAAGGTTGCACTTCCAGTGTCTTCAAGCCTGGCTCAAGACATCCTACACTCCCAACAACCATGTGCTGTCCACAGAGGTGTTGGTCCCATGGATTGTATCCAACTCCCTCAATTGGTGAAAGGACCCTCAAAAAGTTTGCATGGGAACTGCCTTCTCATGTCTACCTGCCACACACGTCATCACTACAGGCTCCTGACTTCTAGGATGGGTTGCTCACCTACAAGATTGTACAGCCCAAGGCAGGTGGACTCCTCAAGAGTTGTCACTACACATAAGTGCCTTGTCTTCACTTCCTACCTCTCAGCTAGCTCCAGTCAGTCAGAGTGATGTTGGACAACTGAGCAACCATGTACTATATAAACCGCCCAAGAGGAGCAAAATCACGATCTTTATGCGAAGAGTCGGTGATGCTATGGAACTGGTGTTTAGCCCGGGAAATAAATATCTCAGTGATCTCCCTGCCGGGATCACAAAACACCATCACAGATTCACTGAGCTGAATTTTCCATCAAGACCACAAGTAGGAGCTGACCAATGTTGTCTTTCAAGAAATCTGTCTTATGTGGCGTCTTACACCCCTTCCAACTCAAAATGCTGCTACATCTTATCAAGTGGGGAACATGGCACAACTCCCTGGAAGACATTCTCCTTGCCTCTTGGCACCCAGGTCTGTTATACACATTCCCTCAAACTTCACTGATCCACAAAGCCCTGCTCAAACTGAAACAAGAAAAAATAGTTATCATTTTCATGGCTCCCAGATGGCTGAGAATGGTGTGGTTCCTAACCCTGACCTATCTGGCGACATGTCCACCTCTGCACCTTCCCCTGATGACAGACCTCTGGATCCAGGAATCAGGCTCCATAACCCACTCCAACCTAGCATCCCTGCTTCTCAGGTCTTGTCTTCTCGGTAGTTCTTGGGTGTAGAGCAGGAGTGTTCTCCTGAAGTCCAGTTGGTTCTGTTAAATAGCAGGAAACCTACTACATGAAGGATTTACCTGCAGAACTAGAAATGCTTCCAGATCTGATGCACCCAACATTCTGTATCTCCTGCCAGTTCTCCCCAGGCATTCATCTTCAATTAGGTACTAAACCTGAAATCTCTGGGTCTTTCCCTGAACTCGGTTAAGATTCATTTTTCTGTCATTGCAGCATTCCGCTCGCCAGTCAAGGGTGTCTTTGTCTTGCACAGCCTAGAACAACAAGATTCCTTAAGGGCCTCCTTAATCTGTTCCATCCAGTGTGGGACCCTACCCCACACTGGCACCATAATTTAGCGCTTAACACATTAAAAGGACCTCCCTTTGAGCCTACGGCAACCTACTTGCTATTCCATCTGTCCTTCAAGATTTTGTTCCTTGTAGCAATCACCTCAGCCAGAAAGATGGGAACTAGTAGCTCTCATGGCTGACCCTCCATATTACAATTTATCCAGACAAAGTTATCTTGCATCATCACCCTCACTTCCTCCCTAAAGTGTCATCAGAGTTCCACACCAATCAGGACATTCACCTGCTGAAGAAATGAGTCTCCATATACTGGACATAAGATGATGCCTGGCTTTCTCTCTTCACAGAACTAAGCCCTTCAGGGTATCCCCCCAGACTCTTTGTTTCCTTTGCCAAGAGAAACTATCTCACTGGGTATTGGAGTGCATTTTGCATTGCTACGAGTCCTCTGGGATGCAACCCCCTCCTAGAGTCATTTGTTGACTCTACCAAGTCTCAATCTGTTTCCATTGCCCTCCTTAGGAATGTACCCATCAAGGACATTTGCAAGGCAGCCATCTGGTACTCCATTTCATGTTTTCACAGCATTATGCCCAACTCCATGCCTCCAGTGCGAATGCAGTCTTTGGTGAAGGTGTTCTATACTCCATACTAGGTCCACCTCTTCAGCACTTTCTTCCACATTAAGGTACTACTCAGGAGTCTCCTCATACTGGGATGCTGGAACTGGATGACAGGGAATGGATCACTAGATAATTACCCTGTTCTGTTCATTCCCTCTGAAGCATCTGGCATTGGCCACTGTCGGAAGACTGGAAACTAGGCTAGATGGACCATTGGTCTGACCCAGTATGGCCATTCTTATGCTCATGTGAAGCACCCACAGGGACATTAACTTAAAGAAGAAGGAGACATTACTTACCTTGTACAGTAACTGGAGTTCTTTGAGATGTTTTGTCCCTATGAGTGCTCCACTACCCACCCTCTTTTTCCTCCTGCTTCAGAGATTTACCATGCTCTGAGGTTGAGAGGAACTGGAGCGGCACAGGTCTCCTCCTCCCTATATTCTCTCATACTGGAGCATGGGGAGGCATGCAGTGCAAGCCCACAGGAACTACTAGGAGAAATATCTCTGATCAAGAGTGCATGGGCACACGGACATCCTCCCAAGGAGCACCATTGGGACAAAACATCTTGAAGAACTCCAGTTACTGAACAAGGTAAGTAACCTCTCCTTGTGCATTTTTCATTTATGAATGACATTCTATGCTTATTGTTGCTCTAAGTGTGAGGCATTACTCCTTATCTTGACAGATAAAGCTAATATAAGTGAACAGCAATTAAATTGATGTGTGACTTGTCTGCAATTGCTTCAACAGTACAAACCATGGAGAATTAATATTCCACTGTCAAATTGAGTAAAATTGTTTATTATGAGATCTGGTTACTAATACAGTATGTCTACAGCATAATTTTATGGACAATTCTGGCCTTTAATTGTAATATAAATCATATGTTGATTCTAGTGTTCACAAAACATATGTAATCTTTATGTTTTATAGGGAAAATTCTACAGATGTGGGGGAAAATTAGAAACTGATCCTGCAAACCCTTACTCACACAAGTAGTCCTATTGACTTTAGTAGGACTACTTATGTGACTAAAAACTAACAAGAGAAAAGACTGCAGTCATGGTACCTTAATTTTGTGACCCTTATTGGCTGACTGTACATTTTATTCTTGGGATTAAAACCAATAAATATGTTTTAAAGAAAATATGAAATAAGGAAAATAGCATGTATTATGAATAATAATAGTTTTAATTTAGATAAATTTGTTTTTGTTTTGTATACTTTAATATTTAAGAAAATCTAATATTACTCCACATGTCACAGTGGTACTAATAAATTGTCTTCCTCCATTAGTTTTCCAATCTTTGAAAATCCTTATCCCATTGACATTCATGAGTCACCAGTTACCTGCACAGAATATTTTGCTGACTGTCCTCCAGATTTGATTCCCGTATTGTATTCTGTAGGAGCTAAACATAAAAAGCAAGGATACAGCAATAAGGTAAAAAAAATACATTTTATTTATGAAGAGAGTTTAATTGTAAAAATCTAAACTGTGTACATAATTTTCTGGAAAATGATTTTCATTGTCTGTCTTCTCACATTAATACTTATATTAAAATAAGGTACAGGGATACCACCAACTTGAAACTCATATTTCTAGCTCAAATTGTTTCCTTTATTGTAGTTACAAGTAACGTCTGAGATTATTATAACTGAAAGATATTATTAGGGGAAAAGATTTTTCACTATTTTTTCAGTTTGTTTACTTTGTGCATTTGACAGCATGTATGCACAGACAATTTCACTCTCATCTCTGTAAAGTCAATTAGGCCCTGATGCTGCAATTGGTTCTATGTAGGCACTCAGACCCCTGTGCCCACATGGTGCTCCACTGACTTCAGCAGGGTACCATGAGAAAGTATGTTCCATGCTTGCAGACCTCCTTGCAGGATCATGGGTCCTTTCTGAGAATTTGCAAGTAAATCTGTTAATTAGTTTGAGGTAAAATTTATTCAAAATGGGTCCTTTAAGAAATTTAGCTCCTGGTATCAGACTGTTTTTTGTCTCTGCTGTTTTCAATAATGAAACAACACGGGCCCTCCAAACTTCCCAAGTGGTTAAAACTCACAGAAACCTGATGCATTGTCTGCATTTGCAGATTTTTATTTTTAGGATTAATCGTACTTTTCAGCCATTATTTCCACCATTTAAAAAAAAATACATTCTGATTTACATATATTTGCATAAATGGACATGAATATAAATATATTTGTATAACTCTAAATAATTTTATTGTCATGTTGCCAATTTGTTCTACTCGCACCCACACCCTGAATTCATTCTCCCAGTCACTTACTCCAGTTCATTTCTACCCACACACACAACTCCCTAGACACTTCACCATCTTCCTCCATTCATTCCACGCTTGCCCATCTGCTCATTCTGCACATCCATCCCCCCACTCCACACCCATCCATTCCACATCAGCCAGGATGATCACTACATACACCCAGCCATTTTCCACGCATCTATACTGTACGTACATCTTCACTCATTCGGCAGTCTCCCCCCCCACACACACACACACTCTCTCTCTCTCTCACACACACACACACACACACTCTCTCTCTCTCTCACACACACATACACCCTCTCTCACTCACACACACACACTAATTCCATGCACATATTCCATCCTCCCGGGGAGCAGTTCAGCAGTTGCCTCCACCAACCCAGTTTCCAAACTACCAGGAGAGGAGGGAAGAGCATAGTTATAGCCCCAGTTATTTATAAGCAAAGCCCAGGGACAGACAGTATTTCCAGTGACAGTCCTGTGCCTCCCAATCAATACCCCAAATTCATGACTTCCCATTTCTATACTTGTCTCTTCTTTCACTAGGCAAGAAGCTCCCACAACCCTAGTCCCTTGCAACCAGCTCTCCTCCTTGAGAGAGAGAGAGGGGGAGAAAAAAAGCAAATGTGTCTTTAAAAATCAGTTTAATCTAATTTGGGACTACAAGCATTATTATGCATTAGTCAGAATAGTATGATTATTGCATGGTTTCTCTACAGGATGGAGTTAAATTTGTTCAGGTGCCCTAAACTGCATTTCCATACCTCAACATGTGATGGGTTTTTTAAGTTTAACCTTAACTCAGAATTTCCTGGATTTATAGCACTTGGTTTGGGACTAATTACAACATCCCTGTAATGTTTTAACCCTTAAATTACTGATATGTGCTTTTAATCCTAACATTTTAAAATAGTTTTTAACCAGGAATACATATATTTCTGGTAACTGGGTGCCTTCTTTTTCTTGAACTCCTATGGGAGCTTGACTGGGCCTGAGCAGACATTGCCTTCCTTTCCCATGGAAACTGGGATGTGCAGGAATCATGATCAAGATAGGCTTCTTTATGGTCTTGAAGATTCTGTGCTGCCTTAGCAAGGAAGGCAAGAACTGAATTGACTTTGGAGGCTGAATTCTCCTCCCATCCCTATAGCTGGTCACCTCAATGAAGGATTGAAGCACATTGACGATGCAATGTTCAAAAGTTTGCACAGCTGCCTTTGGTCCAACAGTTCTGGGGATATCATTTATTTATCATTTATTATTTAACATTTGTATGTAACATCATAGATATGCCTGGAGCTTTGCAGAGGACCAGATTATGATCCTCTTACTCCTGCTGGATAGAATCTTATTTCACAAGAGATCTCATTGCTGTCACTGAGAAAGGGTTTCACAATCCTGTCCACAGGGAGTAAAAACACTGTGCACGCCACAAAGAGTTTATCATCTAAGGCCCCAACCCTGCATTTGGATCCTCGCAAGAGACTGTTGTGCCCCTGTTGAAGCCCCAAGGGTCAGCCCTTGTGAATCCAATAGAAGGATCAATTGATTGTTCATTATTCATTCCTCCAACACTTATTATAAAGAATTTCAGTCTGAAAAGCTGTTAATTCAGAACCTTCCACTAGACCACACAAACATTTACATATTTTTTTAAAAAATCTCTCTGCCTTTAGGACAGATAATATTATAAACAATAAATTAGAAGTTGCATCTACATAAATATATTTTAAAATTATCAAGATAATGTTCCAACCTTGTTTTCATTTTTATAAATTAGGTAATATTGCTTTTTAGAAGAATTTGTTATGATGTTATTCATTTTAAAAATGTGCAGTCCACCAGCCCATAAGAAATAACTCTTTTCTGTGAACTCTTGTAATTGTGTTTAGGAATGGCCAATCAGTGGGGGAGCATGGAACCTAGGAACACAGACATATCCTGAAATTATTATTACAGGGTAAGAACACAACAGAAGGTTTGTGCTTTTACAAATGTTAATATCTAGAACTTTTAATGATGTACATCTATAGGTCAGCCCTACCCATCTCACAATATATTTGGCTGACTAGGGCATCTGAATATGAACACTCTAACTCCATTACATAACAGAAATGTATACTTCTTCCCCCCAGTACAGAGGGCCCACAGAAGTACTTATGCAGCACTTAAGCCCAATGATAAAGTCTTAAGTAGCATATAGAGCCTTGTGCTCAAGATAGGGTTGCCAATTCTGGTTGGACATATTCCTGGAGGTTTAATCACATGACATAATAGTTAATTGAATATTAATCTTTAATTCCTGGAGACTCCAGGACGATCCTGGAGGGTTAGCAACCGTAGCTCAAGAATATATTAATATAGGAACCATGGATTGAGGCTGCAAGCCCGTAAGGGGCCTGTGTGCCCCTGAAGAAGGGATCTAAATATCCCTGGGAAGGGGTGGCCAGTGCAAGAGAGTGCTGTAGTCTTCAGTGGGTATTGGGGAGGAAGAAGTAGCATTAGAAGGGCGGAGAGCCAAGAGTACCACAAGCATTTCTGCAGGGGTGGTTTTGTGGTTTATTGGGGGCCCTGTGGCTGGATTGGAGCTGGAACCCGTTTAGTGTTAATCTCCCATAATTTGTGTGAATGCTGTGCATTGGTGTGAATTTTACCTTTCAAGCTAGATTGTGTCTGTAATACGCAGCCCTGCAGTAGAAGAGGGTGGAGGGGGCAGGGGATCACATTTCAGTGACAGACTCAGGAGCAATTCTGGATGACTCAGATGCGTGAGTGGAGAAATATTTACAGTATTAATGTGTTCTGTGGTTTTAAGCACTCATCATGACTACCAACTCTTGGAATAAGTTTTATTTTTTCAGAACTGCCACCCATGTAGAAGTATGAATTTTGTCCATATTGGGGTTACTCATAATTTTTCTCCTACTGGTAATTCACTTTTTAATTGCCTGTTTTATTTATCCATAGAATGTTAATTACAAAGCATAAGTTTGGATGTGAATTGGTTTGTGCTAACTGCTACAAAATAGCATATTTTACTGAGATAAGCAGCTTGATAGCCAGACATTTTCTTATAGACATAGTTATGAAGAACTAAGAATTAGAGCTGGGCAAAATTTTTTGTATAAAACATTTTTTCATAACCTCACTCCTCTGATGCTTAGAAACCTTCTTCTAAATTTCAGCCTGATTTGTTCATGGCTAGTTTATACCCATATGTTTTTTATGCCAACATTGTCCTTTAGCTTAAATAGTTCTTTACCCTCCTACATGTTTAGCTCTCTGAGATATTTATAGAGAGCAATCATATCCTCTCTCAGCCTTCTTTTTGCTAAGTTAAACAAGCCAAGCTCTTCCAGCCGCCTCTTATAAGATAAGCCCTCCATTAACCTGATTCCATTACTATGATCCTCCCTTAACCCTAGCAGCTCTTCTCTGCACCTCTTCCAGTTTGAATTAATCTGTCTTGAACGTGGGTGACCAGAACCGTGCAAAGTATTCCAAATGAAGTTTTACCAGAGCCTTATACAGTGGCATTAATACTTCTCTGTCTCTATTGGAAATGCCTCACCTGATGCATCCTGGGATCGTATTTGTGTTTTTCACAGCCATATCACATTCGTGGCTCATAGTAATCCTGTGAATTATCCTCACACCCAGTTCTCTCTCCTTCTCTGTTGCTTCAACTGATGAGCCCCCAGCTTGTAGCAGAAATTCTTATTATCCCTAAGTCCATGACCTTGAACTTTGTACTATTGAATTGTGTCCCATTTCTATCACTCCCATCTTCAAAGTGATCCAGATCTTCCTGTATAATGTTCCAATCCTTCTCTGTACTGACAATGCCTCCAAACTTTGTATCGTCAGCACATTTCATTAGCCCACGCCTACCTTTTATGCCAAGGTGATTAATGAAAATATTGAATAAAATTGATCCCAGGATTGATCCTTGAGAAGCTCCATTAGTAACCTCCCTCCAGTCTGATAGTTCACCTTTTAGCACAATTTGTTGCCTTCTCCCATTTAGCCAGTTTCTTATCCACCTTACAATTCTTGTGCAACTCCCCACTTTAATTTAACTAATATTTTCTCATGTGGTACCATATCAAATGCTTTACTGTGATCTAGTGCGGCAGAATCTGACCCTAACGGGGGTTATATAAAATAGATCTCAAAATAAACAGTGATTTCCAAAAAGAAGGCACAGTTTTAAATAAAAACTAATTTACGGGCAACTTCAAAGAGTCTATTCTGTGATATATGTGTCATGTATTAAAAGTCTGGAAATTTCTCTTAACAATGCTTTTAAAAAAGTCTTTTATCCATGTGATCTTTTCTATTTAAAAAGGACTATTGTTAAAGTGTGTGTGAGAGCTCTCTTCTATAAAAGATTAAAAGTATTATTATGCAAAATCCTAGACAACAGTCACTTGTTTGGTAACAATAACTGTAATAACATACGGTCAATGTGTACTTCCTTTGGTATGTGTGTACACTACAAATCAATTAAACTGATTTATTCTATTTACATTTGATTAATTGCCCTTCTAATATAGATATAAATTGCATCATTGCAAATGAATAGTTAACTTCAAGGTTAGACTACACTGTAAGAATGATGGAAAGGTCACCTGAGTACTGTATTATATAATAAATACAGTGACTCAGTTGTGCTGTTTGTATTTTCAATAACTGAGAAGTGAAATTATATGTAGCTATATCTTGTTTTAACCAACGTTTAATTTTTTTTAAGTCATGCAGACGGATCGATAAAGTTTTGGGATGCCTCTGCCAGTAAGTTTTTAAACGTCCCTTTCTCATAGTATTAACAAATTATAGTATAACGATATTGGGAGAGGGGTTGTTATTTAAGATAGTATCCGTAGGCAAGTAAGAATAATGGGATGAAATTAAGAAAATAATCATTAGGCTGAATATCAGTAAGAAAAAATTGTGGCAGTAAGATATTAGACTGTAGAATAGTCTCTCAGAGGGAGTGGTGGAAAGCTCAGAACTTGGACATTGAATACTAAAGTGGACAAAGCACTCTAAAATATGCGGTAGGAGATAATTCTGCAGTGGATCGGGGAGTTAGGACTAGGCTGGATCTAATGGGTCTGTTTCAACTCTAATTTCTATCTTTCTGTGAGTACAGTATATATTCCTACTTGTAACTGGATTTTTTTTTTAAAGCTAAACCTGTAATAGTTCATCCTATTGCACATATAATTCAAGATTCTTGACATCTGATATCAGGCTCTATATAATCTATTTAGTGTTAAAGTGAATGTACAGTGAATAATTTTTATGAGTAGGTGGACTGCTTTTGGCAAGATAAGAACCAAATCTGCACAGGTACGTTTGCACAGCATTATGCAGTGAGCAGGAGTGAGCCTCCAAGCCCAGGTCGACAGTCTTGGGTTAGCGGGGCTCATAATGTGTAGAGAGCACTTTGAAGTTGCGGCTCAGGCTGGAGCTTGGCCTCTGAAGCCCACCCTCAGAGCCCGAGCCAAAACTTCAAAGCATTTTCTACACAGCTATATGTTGACCTGGGGTAGGAGGCTCGCTCCCGTTCCCACTGCATAGACATACCCTACCAGTCTTCTCTCTGAGCTTTATGGAAAGTTCTTCCACTGCACTATCAACACACACCCTTTCAGGCAAAAGCCTCAGAAAATAGCAGAGTCCCATGTTGTGCATAGAGTGGGTCAGAAAATAAGGAGCTTGTTTCACAGAAAATTTTGACTTTTTGACAAAAAATTGTTGCTGAAAACCTAAATATTTTGGCCTAATACTGATATTTTAGTTCAAAATGTTGCCACAGTGCCTCATGGGAGTTGTAGTTTGGACATCTTATGCTTCCATTCTCCTTTATGACCTGAGCTTTCTGGCTTAACTACATTTCCCATGATGCATCAGTTTCTTTCTTCTTGCTGAAGGGAGAGGTGCATCATAGTCTTTAGATATGGTGCATCATGGGAGATGTAGTCTGTCCAGAATGACAGCATAAGGTGCCTGAACTAAAATTCTCATGAGGTACTTGTAGCACTTTTATGAATCAAAATATTTCAGTTTTCAATCAGTCTTTTTGTTTGTTTGTTTTTTTCCTATACATGGTATTAATGTTTTGAGGTGATTTTACTAAGTTGTTATCAACTAGACCATAAAGTCTTTCTCAGGCAGTAGTCTTTCTCCTGTCTAGCAGCAACCTCTACATGTGACAGGTTGGACAGGAGGAAAGGGGAGATTCTCCTTGCACAAGTAATGCAATACTGGGAGGTGAGGCTTTGTTAGCTTTCTAGAATTTTACCAGATGCCCACCGAACATGCTGAGAAATTATCTTTCAATAATACATCATTTATTTTTTCAAAATGTATCTATCAAAAAGACTCTTTCTCATGTAGGACCAGGCACATGTCCAGTTTGGAGTATATTTCTTCAGCCATTGTTGAGCAAAAAAAAATCTGAAGTTTTAAGAAAAGAGTTTTGAAAAGAGATTTTTTTCCACTTACCTTTAACTCAGAAATGGCTGAGGGGTTTTATTCAAGCTTTCCACAAAAATTGGCAAAGAAGCTAAGCATATAAGAACTTAGCCCCAAAGGAGGATTGTTCAGAAAGTTGTAATACAGTGAAAATGGGTGCAGTAAAATATCATATGTGGTGATAAAATGAGCCTTTAGGCCAGAGGTGGGCAAACTACGGCCCGTGGGCCACATCCAGCCTGCGGACCGTCTTGCCAGGCCCTTGAGCTCCCAGCCGTGGAGGCTAGCCCCCAGTCCCTCTCCTGCTGTCCCCCCACCCCCACAGCTTCACCGCCGCGCGGGCAGCGCTCTGGGCGGCGGGGCTGTGCAGCGGGGCAGTGCAGCAGCGTGTCTGGCTCCGACCGGGCGGCGCAGTGGCCAGACATGCTGCTCTGAGCGGCATGGTAAGGGGCCGGGGCTTGGGGGTTGGATAAGGGACAGGGAGTCCTGGGGGATGGGGACCAGGAGGCGGTTGGATGGGGCGGTGGTTCTGGGGGGGGCACTCAGGGGATGGGGAACGGGGTGGGGGGGGGTTGAATAAGCATGGGAGTCCCGGGATGCTTCTCAGGGGGAGGGGGTGTGGATAGGGGTCAGGGCAGTCAGGGGACAGCGAGCAGGGAGGTTGGATAGGGGGTGGGGTCCCGGGGGGCAATTAGAGGCGGGGGGGTCCTGGGAGGGGGCGGTTAGGGGACAAGGAGCCAGGGGGGTTGGATGGGTCGGGGGTTCTGAGGGGGGCAGCCAGGCTGTTTGGGGAGGCACAGCCTTCCCTACCCGGCCCTCCATACAGTTTTGCAACCCTAATGTGGCCCTCGGGCCAAAAAGTTTGCCCGCCCCTGCTTTAGACCCAGCCCTAAGTATGCTGCAGTGAATAGCTGCATTGCTCCAGGGAGAAAGTTGATGATTAAAAAAAAGTGTAGTTTACTTGCCCCCTTGTGGCTGCTCTGCTGACCAGCACGTTGGAAGGAGGGCAGAGCCAAGCGCCCCACCCCATCTGCCAAGAGTGGAGAGAGTAGTAGTATGTGCCCAACCGTTGATCACCCTTCTGCACTTGGGCCACACTGCAGGGAATGTTAACATGGCCACGTAAGATAGAAAAGAGCTCCCTGCATTGCTGTATTAGGCTGGGTCACAGTCTGCCCCATATGATGTATGTAACACCGTGTGTGTGTATGTATTTTATTGTACATATGTAAACTTAATTATAAAGGAGGAGATTTTCAAAGGCACAAATGGGAGTTAGGCATCCATTCCCGTTGGTTTTCAATGGTACTAAGGCACATAAGGTACAAATTTCAAAAGTGTCTGAGTGATTTAGAAGCCCAAGTTCCATTTTTAAAAGTGACTTTGGCACTTAGGGGCTTATGCCTCAATGAAAGTCAATGGTACTTAGTCTCCCAAGTCACTCAGGCACTTTTGAAAATGTTACCCATAACAGCCCGTTGTGCTTTGAAAATTTCCCAATGTTAGCAAATAAACTTTGATGGATGTTGTATCATTGTGGGTTGGGTTAAACCTCTTTGTTATGGCTTGGGCATAATCACCACCTTACATTCCAGGATGAATATAAAGTTGTAATGGAATGCTAAACTGTATTATACTGTTCAGCCTCTAGGTGGCGCTGTATGTAACATACCTTACATAAGCTAACATTAGCCAGACCTGGCAGAGCACTAAAGGATCATACAGTGAACACATCTAGTGTGTATATCTCTGAGAAGTAAGATCTGTAATAAGTCTATATCTGATACAGAATCCTGACCTGCTAGTAGCAGCCCGGCAACCTCCCATGTAGAAGAAGCTTCTGCTGCCGATAGATCAGGATGGTGGCTGACCTATTGGTCTGCAGTTAAAGCCACTGAGAATAACAAAACAGAAAAAGCCAAAGAGAAGCATGGGAGAAGAAAGAAAGTTGTGGACATCTGCAAATCCCTCATCTATTTACATTTTTACAAGAAGTCACTGAAACAAACTGACTGTTATACATCAACTACAATGGGGACTCCAGCAACAACAACATGACATAGTATCAGAAGTAAACTACTGCCAGAGGAGAATGAACAGAAAAAACAAAGCAACAAAAGTTGCAAACAGAAGGAATAAAGCAACAAAGATTGCAGGATTTCATCAACAGGCATTCTTCAATGCCCCAGAGAACTTTAGCTTTGACAAACCTTCACAATGGACAGACTGGAAGCAATATTTTGCAAGATTTTGAATTGCTACAAAGCTCCATCAGGAATCTGGAGATATTCAGGTATCTTTAATTTATGCTATGGTGAAATAGGCAGAGCATATCTTTAAATCCTTTGACTTTACTGAAGACAATTGCAAACATGGCTATGAAGGGGTTCTGGCTATGTTTGATGCAGACTTTATGCCTCAGAGCAGTGGTTCTCAACCTATTAATAATTGTGAGCCGTATATGTGGCCCATAGTGTGTTACCTGGGCCACAGGTTGGGAACCACAGCACCCCCCAACCCTCCCCACACACACTGCTATGCCCAGCAACCCCAGCCCAGAGATCCCTCCACAGAATGGGGCCAGGAGCAGAGCCCTGGTGGCGGAGCTGGGTGGCAGGGACCCTGATCCCCAGTGTGCGGGGCCAGGCAGCAACCCCAACCCTGGACCTTGCTGTGTGGGGCCGGGCGGCAGCCCGACCTGGACCCTGCCATGTGGCAGCCCAGGCCCTGGACCCTGCCGCCCTTTAGCACACATCTGGGCCTCAGCTGTGTGCAGATTGGACCACGTGTGGTCCACGGCCCATGGGTTGAAAACCACTGCCTCAGAGTAATGTGGTTTATGAAAGAACAGGTTTTCACCAAAGAATTCAAGAACCAAGGGGAAAAGTTGAATGTTTTATAAGAGCTCTTCATGCATTGGCTGGAAACTGTGATTTTGGTACTACAGAACATAAAAATATCAGAGACAGGCTGGTTATTGAGTTAACAGATAAAAATCTTTCACAGCAGCTGCAATTGATGACAGATTTAACCCTAGCCATAGCTATATAGATAGCAAAGCAGACTGAACTAGTCAAACAGCAGAATGAAAGGCAGGGGAGCAACTTAAATAACTTGAAACTAACTTAGAAGTTGTAAGCAGACACTTGAGCACTAAAAGTCATTATCATAAAACCCCTGAGGCAAGGAGAGAGCTCCTAGGCTGACAGACAAATGACAGCATACATGCACAATGTATGGAAAAGTTATATCCCAAGAGAAGGCGCATGTTCAGCCAGAGGTGCAAGGTATAATGTACTTTGCAGCTGTTTGCCACACCAAAGCAGTCAGGGAGTTGACACATATTAAGACAATCAAGAGCCATTGTTTCTGGGATCCATCACTAGTGACAATACTGAACCTGCTTGGAGAGTGAAACTAAATATTCATGGCAAGACTTTTGACTTTAAAATTATTTCAGGAGCTGACATCACAGTCATCTCAGAAGGGACTTACAGTCACCTTAAACCCTTCCCACAGATGACATTGCCTGACACAGTTCTGACAGTATTCTGAACTGCATGGGCCAGTTCATCACAGAAACAACTTACTAAGACAAAAGCTATGCATTCACAGTGCATGGGATCACAATGTAGCAGCTATGATGGCCCTATTGATAAAGGGGGAAGAACCCAATAAAGGAGTTGATGCTACTGGACTTTTGAAAGGCGATCCAGTACAAAACAACTTAAGAGAAAAAGCTGAACCATACCGTGTACAAACTCCCCTACCAGAGACACCTCGAAAGAGATTAGCTGCAGATTTATGTGAATTCAGAGGACATTATTATCTGGTCATGGTGGACTCTTTTTCCAGGTATATAGAAATAATGAACTTGAAAGACATAACGTGCCGCAGTGATACCAAGAAACTGAAGTACACTTTGGCTCATTTCAATATTCCAGAACAACTAGTAATAGACAACAGACTACAATTCACTGCAGCAAAATTTAAGTTCTGAATTAAATATGATTTTGATCATATTACTAGCAGCCCACATGACCCAGAAGCAAATGGAGAAGCTGAGAGAGCTGTGCAGTCAGCCAAGAAAATCCTACAGCAGGAGTTACTGATCAACACCAACTGCAGCTACTAGATATAGTCCAACACTACTCTGATGGGAAGACAACTCAGAACTACTGTTCCGACTTTGAAAAGGAATCTATCTCCAAAGTGGACAGACATGTTAAAAGTAGCCAAATCCGATAAAAAGAATAAAAGAACTGCTGGATCTAGAACTTGGTTACTATGTTCGCATCTAATTGGACGAAGACAAAGGATGGACATTGAGCACTCAAATCATATGTGAATGAGACTGATAGTGGAGAGTTCAACAGAAAACCATCAACATATACAATTTGTTCATCTGAAAGGACAATTTACAGAGCAAACTCTTCAGATGGTGGATGCAGAACAAGAAGAAGACTCGGAGATTCCAAACCAACCACAGCCAGTCATTGCAACCTATGGAAAGCCAGATGACCAAGTTGTTACATGTTCAAGTAGAAAACCAGTATGATTCAGAGACACTTAACAGACTGACATGTACTTAACTTCAAATGTAGTGTGATGTTGTATACTTTGTAAATGATAGGAATGTAGAACTTAAAGGGGGAGATGTAATGGAATGCTAAACTGTACTATACTAGGTGGCACTGTGTGTAAAATATCTTATTTAAGGCTAACCTTTGCCATACCTGGCACAGCATTAAAGGATCACTACGGTGAACACATCTGGTATGTATCTCTCTGAGAAGTAAGCTATGTAGTCAGTTTATATCTGATGCAGAAGCCTGACTTGTGAGGAGCAGTCCTACAGCCTCCCGTATATAAAAATAATATGACAGATGTGGCTGAAATAAGAGCAGTCTCCAAACTCAAAACACAGGTACGTGTCTCTGCCCAAAACAAAGATTAATACATGGCTGCCCAAAATTTTGAATGAACTGGGCAGAGGGGTTCACTGGGTATTGTCTGACAGAGAGAGAGAGAGAGACATCCTGAACAAGCACAGTGTGTGACCCTAAGAGAAGACTAGCGGGAAAGCTTTTGGGTCTGGTGCTGTCTGAAGAGGTTTGGGGCGATAAGCAAAAATAAACTATCTCCTTTTGTTTGGTTCCTCCTGCATTTGGAAAAACAGGATTTTGTTCATTCCTTGTAAATAAACAAGATTTCATAAAAGAAAATATCTGACTACATAATCAATTTCTCCTTTTAACTTGAACGACTGACAACATCCCAAATTTGGCAAATTGCCTGGGTCAAAAGGGGTAAGAGTAAGGTTTGATGGCTATGCCTGTTCACTGTTTCTTAAGCACAAAGTGTGTACATTCTCTGTGCAAGTATGGTATAATTGCTGGTGTAAAACCATGCAATTTAGCCTTGTGGGATCCCAAAATACTTAGCATATACTGTACTTGTGAACCAATCTACCAGTGCTGTAATGCAGCCTCTTTTAGGGGATTTATGTAGAAACACAGTAGCCCTTTTGTTTCCATTGGTGGACCTGATACCACTTTCAGTAACTGGGGGAAAGGTTTGTGTTCTTTTCAGGAACATATATGTTTATGTGTTGGGGTTGGGGGTTGTTATCCTTTTAGCAGGGAATAAGCTTAAGTGACTAGAAGCTATTTCTTGTAGGTACTATAGCAATATAAGTTGAAGCTGTGTCTTAGAAGTGAAAGGCTTTCGGCCTGGGCCTGGGCCTGGGCCTGGGTGCTCCTCAACACCCAAGCTTCCACTAAAGCCAATGGAATATGCCAGTGCTCAGCTGGGGTCTGGCTCTTAATCCTAGAACTGGGCAAAATTTTTCAGATTATTATTATTATTATTATTATTTGGCCAAAAAATGCATATTTAGATTGACCAAAACATTTTGCAAATTTGTGTATGATTTACTGAATTCTTTTGGTCAAAAAAAGGGGGGGAGGAGGGGGAATTCCAGAAAAGTCTAAATGTTTTGTTTTGACATTTTCAAAACAAAATGTTTTGATTTTTCAATTTGAAATGGCTCTTTGTTTTAAATTTTGCTTCAATTTTATTTAAAAAAAGATTTAAAAAAACAGAACTTGAAAATGAAACAGACATTTTGTTTAGGATCAAACCAGACATTTCATTCAACTCAAAACAATTTTTTTTTCAATTTTTTGGTTTGGACACCAAATTGAAAAATGTGTTATTTGCACAACACTTCTTAGTCCTGCTTCTTAAATACATGCTTTGCTTGCTGTGCCTGTGTTTAAGGTTTTCTGGTTACAAAGTTTTAGTTGAAATGATCTTAATACAGTTTAAGGTTTTGTTTGATGATTCATCACAAACATTTATGTGAGCCCCAGGATCTTCAAAGATACAAATTGCACCTCACTCCAAATCTGAGCCTGACGGTGGAAACATTTCAGGAAAATATGGTTGCTATGTTTTTTCTCCATAATCCACACTGATGTAAAAGATTTTGCAAATAGAATAGAACGTGGTTAGTTGTAGCACATTTCATACCTTTTAGATTGTAATGTCTTTGGGACGGGGGCCATGAGCAGCACAATCCTGACTGGGGCTTCTGGACATTACCAATCTATATAACGCTATAAATATAAAACACTAACATATAAAAATGCTGTAAATATTAAATTATGATTTCATAGCTAAGATATTCAAAGCATTTTACAACATAATGAATCAAACAGCAACGATTCTGAAGACAGAGCAACGATTGTGTTATCACACAGCCTTGGAGCTGGCCAGGTCACCAGAATTATCTCCTATTTTTTCCCCTGAAAGGTGCCATGGGATCTCTAATTTCTACCAAGACAACAATTACAGACAGGCAAAAGAGACACCAGTTTAATATCTCATAGGGAAGGTAGCGCCAACAATGCAGCATGCAGCGCAGCATCTCCCCAGTATTGCACTGCAACATCAGTGTTGAGTAAGTGCCTACGTCTAGGTGTGTGACTGAAACTCAGGACTTTTGCCCTTCTGGTCCAGAAAAGAGTGCTAACAATGACCCATATACAAATATCCATTACTGGAAATATGACACATAAAGCTTAGCATTACCCTCTATTATTCTGTTAAGTTGAGCCTTCATATCATGTTATGCTATGTCCTGACTGAAAAACAGTAGCAGCTAAGACACCTTATAACTAGAGGTGAGGTATAGGTTTGTTTAATGTTAAACAATAATTGTAGATATGTTGTACTATTTTGCAGTAACTCTACAGATGTTGTACAAGTTAAAAACCTCAAAAGTGTTTGAAAAACAGAAGCTAGGGGAAGGAAAACCAACAGCTGAGATTGTAGAAGAAGATCCTTTTGCCATTCAGATGATGTACTGGTGCCCTGAAAGCCGAATATTCTGTGTGGCGGGAGTCTCTGCATATGTTATTGTTTACAGATTCAGCAAACACGAAGTGAATACTGAAATAGTGGTAAGTTATTAAGAATTTTGCTCACATATGATGTTGGTTGAAAAGAGTAAATAATATAAGCCATCATTTTCAAATTTGAGTGCCTCGTGTGAGGCTGCTCAATCCATAGTTATGTACCTGAATAAAACTTCTATTAAGCTTCCTAAGTATAAATTTAGGAGCATTCATGTTTAAACATTGTGGGTGAAATCTTAGGCCCACTAATGCCAATTGCAAAACTCACATTGATTTTAGTGGGGCCAGGATTCCAACCTTTCGCAATAGGAATAAAATATAGTAATAAGTCAAGACTTAGGCTGTTTCCAAGCCATCGGGATGGGTCTGTGTTTTAGTTGCTTGCTCCAGAAATACTTGGTGCGGTACCATATGTGTTTTTATCATCCAAGGTACATTTTTGGCACCCAAGAACAGACCAAATATTCTCAGTAAATAATTTTACACTGATATACAAGATAAGTTATCTGTGCTACTTTGATACTAAACATTAATTTATTTCATTGCATGATAATATCACTCTCTTTTAACTCAGGAGTTTGAAGGCTTTATTTTAGTTTATCTTCATAGTGCTTGTAATACAAAAGAATCTAACATTTTCCAGTCTTTGACAAAGTAAAAGTGTTTTTTTTTTCCTGGTTTAATATATTTTAATCAACTAATGCTGACTTTGTTTCTGCAAAAAAGTGGACACTACTGGAAGTGGCAGATGATTTATATCTAAACGGTCAACATTATTGTCACGAATATTGGGCTAACTGCCCCTCTGATCCTTCCTGGTCCCTTCGAGTGCATCTCCCTCAGGTTTCAGGTCTTAAGCTTTCACCTCTGTGAATCATTCAGGGCATGGCTACACTTGCAGATTTAGAGCACTGGGAGTTAAACCAGCCTTCGGAGACCGCAGCAGGGAAAATGCTGCCGTGTTTTTACACTGTCAGCTGGAAACGCACTGGCATGGCCAAATTAGCAGCTCTTGCAATGCCACAAAGAGCAGTGCATTGTGGTAGCTATCCCAGCGTGCAAGTGGCTGCAACATGCTTTTCAAATGGGGGTGTGTGTGGAGTGTGACAGGGAGTGTGTTGTGTGTATGTGGGGGGAGAGACAGTGTGTTTTGGGGTACAGAGAGTGTGTCAGCATGCTGTCTTGTAAGTTCAGACAGCAGCAGACCCCCCTCCCCCTGTCTCTCTCTCTCACACACAGCATTCCACAGTAATGGTTTGCTTTGTCCCGGAGCAGATAAGCATGCCGGCTATCAGAAACGGAGCTTTGAAAGGGGATATCCACATTCCGGCAGCTGAGTTCAAAACAATGACAAGAGTGGCCACTTGACTTCAGGCGATTATGGGACGTTTCCAGAGGCCAATCACAGCACAGTAATGCAACACCTCATTCACACTGACACCCGGGCATTTCAGCCAGGGTGCAGCAACCTTTTGCTTCTCGTGGAGGTGGATTACCAGGAGCGCTCCAGCTGCAGAGTCCAGGCACTCTACATATCTTGCCAGTGAGGACGCGTCAGAGGTTAGGGTGCCTGGGGCTGCTTTAATGCGCTCTAACTTGCAAGTGTAGCCAAGCCCTCAGTTCTCCCACTCTCAGACTGGGCTTTGGGCTGCATTCTCCAGATTCTACCCATGATTATCTCAGCAGATCTAACTTAGTCTCAGCACCTGGAGTTCTGTTCCCTCTGATAGCAATGACCAGTGGTTAATAGAGTGACCAAAGAGCTTTCCTAAACCAACATATTATTTAGTTAGAACCACAGCATTATAGAGAAAACAAATCTTAAAACAATAATCCAGTCTCTATGCATGCCTGCACCTCCCTAAGGCTTACCATTCCCTGGATCTGGGGAAGGGTCCAGCTTCTTCAGACTCCTTCCCCAGAGTCTCCCTCTGTTTCAACCTGTCCACTGGACGGCTCCTAACAATTGATTCTCCTTCTTCCCCTGTGAGGGTTTTTTAATGTTCAGGAGCTCCAGGCTCCCATTCTGACAAAACTGCGGTGCCAATTTGGTCTGGATCCTGGAAGTGTGCCATTGTCCTGTAATTACCCTCCCCCCTCCCCTACCCGTGTTTGTTGGGAGGTTTGCTTATTTCTAGTTATTGTGTCACTTTCATGTTTGACAGGTTTCAGAGTAGCAGCCGTGTTAGTCTGTATCCGCAAAAAGAACAGGAGTACTTGTGGCACCTTAGAGACTAACAAATTTATTAGAGCATAAGCTTTCGTGGGCTAGCCCACGAAAGCTTATGCTCTA